TAACTATTATTATGAAGAAATGTTTGGATTTTTGCCCTTTTACCCCCTTCCTTTAACTTTTTGCTTTTGAGATTTCAGATCTAGGAAAGTAGAGGTATGACAAGGGCTAATAATGTGTTAGGAGTGATATTGCTGTTAGTACTGTAGTCCTTTAGGAAAATTCACCATTTTGATGGAAAAAAAAGAAAACTTTGTAATTTAGTCTTAAAAAAACTTTATTCAGTATAGTTGAATATAGTTAACTGTATATACCGTAAGGTTCACACATTTTAAGTGCATAAGGAAGTGATTTTTAGTAAATTTGTTGAGTTGTGCAACCATTCCCATAAATCAGTTTTAGAACATTTCTTCTACCTAGTAAGATTTTTCTATCCCATTTATAGTTAGTCTGTTTGTACTCCCAGCCCAGCAACCACTAATCCACCACTACCTATCCCCACTCCCATTTGCCTTTTCTGGACATTTCATATTAATGGAATCATAAAATATGTAACTCTTTGTGCCTTGCTCTTTTCATTTAGCATGATGTTTCTGGTTTTGTGATTTATACATGTTTAGCATATATCATTATTTGGTTTTTATTGCTGGATTGTATTCCAGGGCACAGATATACCACATTTTATGTATCTGTTCTTCAGTTGGTGTACATTTGGGGTTGATTTAACTTTTTGGATATTTTATCATTTTAGCTGGTTTATGTACACACTCTGTACTCTAAAAAGATACTGCTAAACTTCCTGTATGAGCAATTTATATCCATTCTTTACAACAGGTTCTGTCCCTGTGCTAGGGCCAACCTTCCTTGATGTGTATTTGCCAAGAAATTTAATGAAGGTCATACTTTGGCTCCTGCTCTGTTTCTTATTTGCTCTGTGCCATGTTTTGAGGTTTGCATGATTTACTCATCTCTCCATTAGCTTTTGTAATTTTCTACCTTTTAATATTTCCCTTTAGTATCCAAAAGGTCACATTCCTCTTTTGTTCTTGATATTCTTTATGTTAATTTGGCAAGCCACTTCCTTTTGGCCATTTATAGAGTAGTTGGATATGGTGAGTTAGTTCTCTAGTTTCTTTCAACTCAAAAGTGGTTTTACCGGATGAGCAATCTAGTTTAGGTGAGAACATAGGTGGGAGTAGGGGGTCTTGGTAGCAGGTGTGGTTGAAGAGGGCAAGAAACAGAAGCTCAGGAACAGCCAGGAGACCTTTTGGGTTTTAAGTCATTCAATTGTGGCCAGGCTGTTTTCATTTACAGTGTGTTACCCTGTTGTACATTTAAGAGGGTTAATTGGTAATCTTTTTCTTAAAAGGACAAATAGTAAATATTTTAGGCTTTGCAAGCCATACTGTCTCCTGTCACTCTTAACTCTTTGTGACACAAAAGCAGTCATAAGCCATTGGTAAACAAATGAGCATGGCTATATTACAGTAAAATTTATTAACTAAAACAGTCACATTGGTAGTTTGCCAAACCCTAAACCTTTAAAGGATTGTTTCATATAATGTTGGTGAGGAGCAATGTATGTACTTGAGGTTTTTTGTTTGTGGGGGGTTTCTTTGGGGGGGCAGCAAAACAAGGTTTATTGAGCATAGCAAAGTGATAGTACAAAGCTCCCGAGGAGGGAGGGGACCCAAGAGGGTTGCCTGCAATGTATGTACTTGTGCAGGAACCTGTAGTATGTCAGATACAGTTTTTACATTAATTTCCAGCCTTTTGTGCTCTTTGCCAATTTTCTTGTGGATCTTAAGGAAATAAAGAACTGAAGGACTAAAACTTAGTCTGAGAACTTATTCTGTGAGACAAGTGAACCCAAAGACAGAATGGGGGACAGCAGCTTCAGGAGGAAAGAGGGGATGGATTAGCCCATGGAACCTTCTAAGAAGACAGAATATAACCTGTCTAGGACTGAGATCTAATTAATGTGGGGAGGTAGTAATGGATGGGGGCTGTGGGGATGGGATAGGATAAGGGATATGATGATGTGATAGCATAGGTATCTGTTTTAGTAAAAAGAACCCAGTGGTTTTGGAGCATGGAGAGATTTTGATTGGAATCATGGACTTGCCCTGTAAGTGATGGACTAACTTGAGTGGGCTTAGGCAAGGCACTTTCCTCTTTGAGCCTCAGTTGTTATTATTATTTTTTTTAAGTAATCTCTACACCCAATGTGGGGATCAGACTTAGAACCCTGAGACCCAGAGTAGCGCTCTACTGACTGAACCAGCCAGACACCTCTCAGTTACATTTTTTATGAAATGGTGATGTCATAACTTACCTTGAAGTGAAGATTAGAAATTCATGAATGTTAAATGGCTGAACCGTGACTTGCATGCACATAGTAAACCCATGTTATTCCCTATCATTTCTTTGGTCTTATTTGTGTTTAAAAATGTCATTGGTGTTTGAAAATTTGGATGCTATCTAATGGGAATATATTAAAGGCATAATCTATTTGCCTCAGAGCGTAAAGTTATTACCCATTAATTGTCACAGGTACAGATGCATATACTTATTTCAAGATGTATTTCGGCTTATTTCTTTTCTCTAAGAGAGATTTTTTAAACATTATTATTTGAGGGGAACATTTGAAGTAATTGTTTGGCTGATGATTTTAACTTCTTTTGAAATGCTTGGGAAATCTCGCCGGTTTGGGTCACTTACAGGTTTATTGTCTAAAACTGAGAAGTTAGGAAAATTGCATTGGTTGAAAGGTTTAACAAGCCCTATAATTACATTGGGAGCTCTGTAGTTACATAATTTTGATAACTGTTTCAGCCTCTATCATTTTAACTTTTTATTTTTTATTAATACTTTATTTTTTTAGAGCAGTTTTAGGTTTGTAGCAAAATTGAGAAGACACAGAGATTTCCTATAGTCGGTGTCCACTCACATGCACAACCTTCCCTATTATCAACACCCCCACTGGAGTGGTACATTTGTTACAATTGATAAATCTACATTGACACATTATAATCACCCGAAGTCCACAGTTTACCTTAGGGTTCATTCTGGGTGTTGTACATTCTTTGGGTTTGGACGAATATATAATGACTTGTATTCATGATTATGGTATCATACAGAGTATCTTCACTGCTGTAAAAATCCTCTGTGTTCTGCTTATCTATTCCTCCCTCCCATGTGCATGCCCTCCCCAACCCATCCCCTGGTAACCACTTTTTATTGTCTTCATAGTTTTGCCTTTTCCAGAATGTATGTATGTAATCATATATATAGCCTTTTCACATTGACTTTTTTCACTTGGTATATGCATTTAAGTGTCCTCCATGTCTTTTCATGGCTTGATACCTCATCTCTTTAGTGCTGAATAATACTCTATTATCTGTACATACCACAGTTGATTTATCCATTCACCTACATCTTGGTGGCTTCCAAGTTTTGATAATTATGAATAAAGCTGCTTTAAAAATCCATGTGAAGGTTTTTGGGTGAATATAAGTTTTCAACTTCTTTTATATTAGATTTAAATAGTTAAACTAGGTGGTATATTACTACTATTTATTGCTATGAAATTACAGTAATTAGAATTAGAAAAAAATTATTTTTCATATCTCATCCTAACAAAGTTTTATGGCTTTTTTCCATATGTGCTATCTAAGGAGTAAAAGCCTTTGCCAAGTTTACTGTGCCTATGATTTGACCTTTTCCTTTTGGTCTCAACTTTTGCATTTCTTTGATTGAAAGAACACCAGTGTTCCTCATTCAACTGAGGCAGAAGTAGTTTCTTCTGAGGTTATTGTGTCATGAAATACCTCTTGCCTCTTGAGTAGACTATATCCTACATTCTGTATGCATTAGCTTTTGCTCCCAAAGACCTTATAAAATGACTATAACATGTTAAACTGGGACACAGTCGTATTGGGAAATTATAATAGATATTTGTTTTACCATTAATTCAAAGAAAGGTATGATATTTTGAATTTTTTTTTTAAGATTTTATTTATTAGAGAGAATGAGAGATAGAGAGCGAGCATGAGAGGGGGGAGGGTCAGAGGGAGAAGCAGACTCCCTGCTGAGCAGGGAGCCCGATGCGGGGACTCTATCCCAGGACTCCAGGATCATGACCTGAGCCGAAGGCAGTCGCCTAACCAACTGAGCCACCCAGGCGCCCGATATTTTGAAATTTTGACCATAAAACATGACATTTTTTTTTTCTTAAAAGGTACCCCGAACTCTGTATTTTTATCTTATTTTCTGTCTTTGGCATACGTGCCATATGCTTTTTATGTCATTGAGGTAATGGTATACACATAATTATATTTTTTAATGATTCTATTTAGAAATATTCCTCAGTTTTCTAATGTGAAACTCACATCACAACTATGGTATGAAGTGTGTGGAAAGTGCTTTTGAAATTCACATGGTAGTACTGATTAGATAAATATTCTATCTGAAATATCTGTCTTGTATTCTGTGTAATCCGGAGAGGTGTTATTAAAATAATTTATGGTATATTTTATGAATTTGCTTGATTTAGACTTTTATTTAAGATTTTATTTATTTATTAGAGAGAGAGAGAACATGAGGGCGGGGGTAGGGAGAGGGAGAAGCAGACTTCCCCCTGAGCAGGGCCCACCCCCGATGCTGGGCTTGATCCCAGGAGCCTGGGATTATGACCTGGGCCGAAGGCAGACACTTAACCAACTGAGTCACCCAGGCGCTCCTAGATTATATTCTAACGTTAGCTGTATCTGTCACTATGGGACACTAGTTAGTTTCAGATTAATCTTTTTTTTATCTTTCCCTTAACTTCAGATGGGCTGTGTATATTTGTATAGAGCAACAAAAGTTGCTCTCAATCTCCCCCCTCAACTTCCATATGTGATAAACCATAGGAAATCACTTTTAGCCTCTTAGAGCTTAAGCAGATTGTTTTTGAGAGTTTCCCATCTCTGTACCTTTGAGAGTACAGGGATGGTTGCATGAAAGCAGTGGGCTTTCCTCTAACATTTTGGTTAATATGAACTTGTTTCTCCTCTTTTAGCTGTGCGGTCAGAGAAGAAACGCCTTAGGAAGCCAAGCAAGTGGCTTCTGGAATATACAGAAGAATATGATCAGATATTTGCTCCTAAGAAAAAACAAAAGAAGGTGCAGGAACAGGTGCACAAGGTATATTCCACCATTTTAATAGTCTTTTCATCAGTACTTTTAGGATATTGCAGCTTTGCCTTCAATATCATGTTTTGTCTGCATGGGATAATAATTTCCTTAACTGGGATCTTGCTTTTTCCATTTTTTACCGCCAGCTTTTGGCACTACTTAGAATATACATGAAAGGTATAAATGGCTCTATGCACTGTGAGTAGTATATATATATATAAATTTTTTTCTCCCTTTGCTTTCAGAGAGTAATGATTTAGGAATATTATTATGACAAAATATTAAAAATGTAGAATATAAAATATGGTAGGATCATAATTTTTTATTTTTATTTATTTATTTTTTAAGATTTATTTATTTGAGAGGGAGAGCATGTAGAGGAGGGCCAGAGGAAGAGGGAAAGAATCTGAAGCCGACTCTGTGCTGAGCATGGACCCCATGTGGGGCTCGATCTCACGACTCCGAGATCATGACCTGAGCCAAAGCCAAGAATCAGGCTCAACTGACTGTGCCACCGAAACCCCCAGGATTATAATTTTTTAAACAAATGCTATTGATACCTTATTTGCTTTATTTTTTAATTCAATTTTTTTAAAAATTTTTAAGTAATCTCTACACCCAATGTGGGGCTCAGACTCATGACCCTGAGATCAAGAGTTGCAGACACTTCCAACTGAGCCAGCCAGGCACCCCTTAATTCAATTTTTTTTTTTAAGATTTTATTTATTCATCTGAGAGAGAGATAGCGAGACAGAGGAGAGCACAAGCAAGGGGAGAGGCAGAGAGAGGGAGAAGCAGACTCCCTGCTGAGCTGGGAGCCAGACGTGGGGTTCAATCATGACCTGAGCTGAAGACAGATGCTTAACCATCTGAGCCACCCAGGCGCCCTGCTTAATTCAATTTTTTTAAGCTCAGTTACTTTACAGTGAATTAGAGACATTTTACCTTCTATCCCTAAATAATATTCACCTCTAAAGAATAGAACATTTTCCTTCATAAATGATTTAATTTTACTGCATCTTATAAGATCAGTTTATCTAATAACAACAAATCCATATTCAGATTCCCTCACTTGTCCTCTAACCTTTACATTTGGTTTATTCATTCTAGGACTACACGTTATATCTGGTTGTTAGATTTCTTAAATTTCTTTAAATCCAGAACAGTCCCCCTTTTTTCATGACCCTAAGTAATGAGAAACCTTTACAGTATCCCCCTTCTAGATTTGTATGATTGCTTCTTCATATGTTTCACTAAACGCTTCTCTATCTCCCTTGTTATGTGGAAATTATAACTAATAATTTGATGGATTCAAGTTAAACAATTTTAGCTAGATTAAATTATAGGTGCTATTGTGTCATATATTGCATGACATTAGAAGTTGTCCAGAGTCCTGACTGATTTCCTTTCTTTTAAGTCATTTTGCTCCCTTTGACCAAGAAGGAATATGTGGGGGTGCCTGGGTGGCTCAGTTGGTTGAGCGTCTGTCTCTTGATTTCAGTTCAGGTCATGATCTCAGGATCCTGGGATCAAGCCCTGCATTGGGCTCCGCACTCAGCAGGAAGTCTACTTCTCTCCCTGTCTTCTTCTGCCCTGCTCGCAGGCTCTCTCTGTCTCTAAAATAAACAAATCAAATCAAATAAAAAAAAAATCTTTAAAAAAATGAAGCAGCATGTCTGTAATTACTTTGGCTTCAAAAGAATGTCCTCTTCTCTATCCACCATTTCCCTGATGGCTTTTAAAAATTTCAATCGAGGGGTGCCTGGGTGGCTCAGTCATTAAGCGTCTGCCTTCAGCTCGGGTCATGGTCCCAGGTTCCTGGGATCGAGCCCCGCATCGGGCTCCCTGCTCAGCAGGAAGCCTGTTCTCCCACTCCCACTCCCCCTGCTTGTGTTCCCTCTCTCGCTGTGTCTGTCAAATAAATAAATAAAATCTTTCAAAAAAAATAAAAATTTCAGTCGAAGAATCCTTGTCTGTATCAATAATTTCATTAGGGGTTATAAAATGAAAACTTACAGATTTTATTATTTCTTCTACTTTTACTAGCTGGCGAACTGTCTCATTAACTGAACACTTTATTTTCTTGATATAATGAAAGGAAGCATAAATGCTTATTTCTTTCCTATTAATTTACTAACTTAACATTGGGAATTCATTATTAGCTGCTTTATTGGTGACATATTAGGAAATCTTTTTGTGGGTAGGGAGCGTTATCACTGGCATTAATGAATTTTTATATAGCTTTAGTGTATTTCAACTGCATTTTTTCCCTTTTAAAAAATTAAAATATATATAACAAAGTTTGTAATTTAAACTTTTAGGTATACAGTTGTGTGTCATTAAGTACATTCACATTGTTGTGAACCATCACCACCATCCATCATCTCTAGAATTTTTTCATGTTTCCAAACTAAATTTCTGTACCTATTAAAAAAAATAACTTACCACTTTACTCTCCTCTCAGCTCCTGGCAACCACCATTCTATTTTCTTTTCCTTCTTCTTCTTCCTCTTTTTTTTTTTTTGAGAGAGAGAGCGCACACACGCATGTTGGGGAGAGGTAGGACAGAGGGCCGAGAGAGAATCTTAGGCTCCATGCCTAGCACAGAGCCCAGTGTGGGGCTCGATCTCATGACCCTGAGATCATGACCAGAGCCAAAATCAAGAGTCCAATAGATGCTTAACTGACTGAGCCACCCATCCTCCCCCAATCTATTTTCTGTCTTGATGAATTTTACTGTTCTAGGTAAACCTCATCTACGTAGAATCATACAATATTTGTCTTTTTGTGTATGGCTTATTTCACTTAGCGTAATATCTTCAGGGTTCATCCATGTTGTAGCATGTGTCAGAATTTCATTAAGTGTATTACTCTTTTTGACACTGAAATTATAGCAACTTTGGTCTATGGATTCTACTTTTATTTTTTGCTCTTAGGTAAGTTCCCGCTGTGAAGAGGAAAACCTTTTAGCCCGATGTCGAGCTAGTGCTCAGAACAAGCAGGTGGATGAGAATTCTTTGATTTCAACCAAAGAAGAGCCTCCAGTTCTTGAAAGGGAGGCTCCATTTTTGGAAGGGCCCTTGGCTCAGTCAGAACTTGGAGGTGGACATGCTGAGTTGCCACAGCTGACCTTGTCTGTGCCTGTGGCTCCGGAAGTCTCTCCACGGCCTGCCCTTGAGTCTGAGGAATTGCTAGTTAAAACACCAGGTAAGATGGGGATGGGGTCTCAGAATGTAAGTAGATATGATTTTAGTATGTTGTGATGAAAAGCCAATAGTGAATCTCTGTACAGCAAGCTACCCACGTTTGTCCTGGGAAATCCTGAAAGTGCCGCCTAATTTGATATAATTAATAACCATGAATTGGTGGTACACTGTCCAGAAGACATGTTTTAAAAACAACTCTCCTTACTCCACTGTTACTCTTCATGTTGTTGATCAAACAGGTGTGAGTCAACACTCAGGATAGCAGGGTTTGGGAGAGGGGCTCTACACACTAATAAACACATGAAACTTACGCTTTAGATACTAGCTCTGTCAGTTCTTGTGTTACTTAGGAAGTTGTTTAACCTCTGAACTTGTTTCTTTTATGAAATGGACATCATAGTGTAATTTACCCGATACATTGTAAGTAGCTAAGTGTAAATATTCCCTTTAAGTTAATTACCAATTGTTTTTCACTTTATCATTCTTTATATACATGTCACCTGGTGTGAGTTGAATGTAAACATACTGTCTCTAATTTACCTTCTGATTTTTGAATATTGTAGTCACTCAAGGAAAATTTTGGATGTAACTTTTTTATATTCCCAGCAATAGCTTGGGATGATAGTCCTTTATTAAAAAAAAAATCCCAGTTGTGCTTATTAATCAAGTAAGACAGAATCAAAAAGAATTTAAAAATAGTAAAGATACTGTTTCATAATTTAGCATGTACCAAACTGTTATTAGGCTCTTGTATATGATTCTTAAGAACAGTCCTACAAAGTAAATATGTTTTTTGTTTGTTCAGGAGCAGAATAAAAATTCTAATCTTGGTCCTATTCCCAGAATTCAGGCTCTACTCCACCTCACTTCTCTTTTTGTCTTTACTATCAATTAATTAAGATAGTTCTGCCCTTTTGATTTCTCCCTTAGTCCTTTGATGATACACAGACACACAGACAGACGTAAGAACATTTTCAGATTAGTTTGTTTGTATTGAGAATTGTTTTCCTGTTTTTTTATGTTAACTAATATTTTAGAATAAATAAATACATTCCTATCCTGCCCCTCCCCAGAAGATGAGGAGGAAAACATAAAAAAATATGGTGACTCATTTTTCTGTGGCATAATAGATTTTTTTTTTTAATTAGTTTGTGCCTAGTTTCTAAATCATCTAATGAAAAGATACATGCATTTCAGGAAATTATGAAAGTAAACGTCAGAGAAAACCAACTAAGAAACTTCTTGAATCCAATGATTTAGACCCTGGATTTATGCCCAAGAAAGGGGATCTTGGCCTTTCTAAAAAGGTATGTTATTTTAGTCAATTCTAAAATATGATTAAACCATATGTAAATATGGGATTTTAAAAACAAATCTTTTAGGAATACTTAGCAACATTGATGCACACATACATAGACATTACAGAATGTCAGAGTATACTCGTTTGGTCTAAGAGATCCTATATTGAGAAGCTGTTTTGCATTTTTGTGGACATGAGTATCAGGTGGTTTTAGATGTTCTTTTCAAGTGAAAATGAAAAGAGCTTTTAAAATTGAGTATAGTGTGTGTGTGTTGTTATTTCTTTTCTGGGATTAAAACCTCACCTGCTTTCTACTTCACCTCTGTCTCTGTGAGCCACTAACCTACTCTTATCCCATTGCCTTGTCTGCATAACACCTCAGAAAAGACTCCGCTCATTTATATACCAGGCAGAAACATTTGAACCTAAGTTTTTGAGTTTGCAAACATGGTTTTTATTGGCCAAGAAGGCATCATTAAATGGTAGGTGGAAATAGAAGGTTATTTTCCTGGATATTAATTTTTAGGGAACATCCTGTTGCTCATATGTGTGAGGAGTAACTCAGTGTGTTAGAAATTCAGTTGTTAGGGTGCACAGATTTCCTATTAAAATTTTCTTTCTTTAAAGGAAAAATGCAGATTTGTAAGCAAATCAAATAAAGAGTTTTTAGACTTTTATCAGCTATAACAGGCTTCTATCATTTAATCCTGTATTGAGGATCCTAGTTTTTGTTTTTGTGAGTTATTCACCCATCTGGATTAGCATGTAATTGTAAAACTCAATTTATTCGTGTGTTTGTACCTCATTTTAAAGTCTGCATTATATCCTTTAAGTCTTTTACTCTTCTCAAAGTCCATTTCCTAAGACATGTCCTAGTAAGGCTGTGATAGTTTCCTTCTGCAGTGCTTTCTCTCTTGACTTTGTCTTATTCAAATCTTAGCCACTTGCAAGATTGTTGGAAGAGGTAGGTGGTAAGGGACAAGGAAACTATGATTCATTTGAATATTTTGAGCATGGAAGTAACATTTGCTAACAGGTGATAAATTTAGTAGTATTATACAAGGTGAATTATGTAAGGCTGTTGCATTACTGCTACAAGTGAGGTAATGACAAATTTTAAAGAAAATCAGAATTTGGGCCAGCTTAGTGAATGATACTTTACCTGTTTTATTGAGATATAATTAATTGACATACATAAGTTAATGATTTGATTAATGTATATAGTGAGCATTTGGAAATTCACTGCCGTATTTTAGCTTGTCTTGACCTCAAAATTTAGGAACTTTATAGCAAGAATAGCATCTGTTATGTTGACTTTTTGTGGCCGCTAAATTTTGTTTTACAGTCCTGCTGAAGAATATTTTTATTGTAGAAGACACTTGCTTGGACTGGAACTGATTCATACAAGCATTAGTAGTAGGGGAATAAAATGTGTAGGAAATTACTCTTGATGCCTGAGTGTTTTGTTTTGAGTTTTAATGTTGCTTTCATTTATATTAATCTACAGCCAATTAAATCAGAAAGACATTCCATGATTCAGAACTTTCTGGTGTATGTGCTGCTGAAGTGAGCACTGATTCAAAGCTTTTTAATAGTTAGAATTCATCAAATAAGTTTTTGTAAAATCTAATGGCTATAAATGCAGTCTTAAGAAGATAGATTTTAAATGCAGGGTGGTATGGAATAGAACTGAGATGGTGGGTCTCTGGAAATATACCCTTTCTCTTTGTCTACCACTTCAATCAGAGCACCGTTCTGTATCTGCTTGATATATTGGGAATCTCTGATTAACCCCCACACCCTAAAGGAGTATGTGTTTGTATGAGTCTTTTGGAGCTGTTTTTTGTGTGTGTGTTTTTTTGATGTCTTTTTTTCCCCATGTAGTTTCTGTTCAACCCATTATTAATATTTTGTTTATTTAATTTTCAGAAACAGCCAGGATTTCTGTATCTGTGATAATAGTTCATATTTGGCATATAATATAAAGGGTTTATTTTCTGTTCCTCTGTAAATCTATTGCATTTTGTTTATTTGTAGTGTTATGAAGCTGGTCACTTGGAGAATGACATTAATGAATCACGTGCTGCATCTCATTCTAAAGAGTATGGTGGAGGTGCGTATTTTTGAGATTTAAAAAAATGTAATGCATGGGGCACCTGGGTGGCTCAGTTGTTGGGTGTCTGCCTTCGGCTCGGGTCATGATCCCAGGGTCCGAGCCCTGCTCCATGGGAAGCCTGCTTCTTCCTCTCCCATTCCCCCTGCTTGTGTTCCCTCTCTCACTGTGTGCGTCTTTGTCAGGTAAATAAATAAAATCTTAAAAAAAAAAAAGTAATGCAAAATAACTATGAAGCACCTCCTCAGCTAACTAGAAAAGTTGTTACATATGTAAGCAAGACCAGTGAGGTTGCAACTTCCAAGACTTATTTGCCCAAGGGGCACCTGGCTGGCTCAGTTGGAAGAGCATGAGACTGTTGATCTCAGGGCCATGAGTTTGAGCCCCATATTGGGTGTAGAGATTACTTAAAAATAAATAAAATAAAATCTAAAAAAAAAAAAAACCCCAATCTTGTTTGCCTGAATATGCTTCCTAACATGATGCATGACACTAGAAAGTTGGATGATCATTTTCAGCTTTATGCTGAAATTAGTTACATGGAGTAAGGAAAAGTTAGGAACAATAAAGAAAATCTGCTACTTAATGTTCTTATTAGATGATTCTCTAACTGTAATCATTACTTTCTTGGCTTTGATTCAGTTTTTATTCTATAGGACAGAAAATGTGGAATCTGAGTTGAGAGGGAAATTACAAGGCTTCTAAGCCTATTTTTCACAAATAGTCTTAGTTTCTTTTGTCACATCTATGATTTTTGGTGAGTGAGCATAAGCTTGAAAAAGCTTATATTTTGAGTGTGGTCCATGTAGTTGCTTCTTTTAAGGGCTTGGAAATCTTTTATATTTTATATATATTTTTTGAAGTTTATTTTATTTTTTTAGGGAGAGTATGAGCAGGGAGGGGCAGAGGGAGAAGGAGAGAGAATATCCTAAGCAGGCTCTGCCTTCAGCCCAGAGCCCAACGCAGGGCTCGATTCCACGATCCTGAGATTATGACCTGAGCTGAAATCAAGAGTCAGATGCTTAACTGACTGAGCCACCCAGGCACCAGGCTTGGAAATCTTTTAGATTGCATTTGAATCTGACTCCTGAAAGTTATACATGGTGATCTTGGTTCTGCCTACTGAATGAAATTCAGTAACAGATAGAATATTGTAGTTTGAGCATTTCCTCTACCAGATCTTTTGTTTGCTCAGTCCATTGCTTTAAGACTGTTAACTTCTTTTTTTTAAAGATTTTATTTATTTATTTGACAGAGACACAGCGAGAGAGGGAACATAAGTAGGGGGAGTGGGAGAGGGAGAAGCAGGGAGCCCGATGCAGGGCTCAATCCCAGGATCCTGGGATCATGACTTGAGCCAAAGGCAGACGCTTAACGACTGAGCCACCCAGGCGCCCCAGGACTGTTAACTTCTAATCCATCTAAAGCATTACAGAGATTTAGGATATTATCCATATTATCCTTGTTTTATAGAAAAACATGAAGGTGAAAGAGGTGGCAGGGTTGGGGGACTAAATCCAGAACTGACCAAATTCATGGCCACACTCCCATCTTGTTATTCACTCCAGATTTTTTCCAGGCCTATTCTTTGTACCACTTTGATCATTCATCTGCCAGTGCTGTTTATTGATTAGTGTCATTTCTGAGACATTAGCCCAGATTTCATCACATGGCATCAGATGTGGTCTGCCAGCCAAGGGTATCATGGGAAGGTTATATTACTTGTGATCTTTTTAAAAAAAAGATTTTATTACTTACTTGAGAGAGAGAGAGAGAGAGAGCAAGTACACAAGCAGGGGGAGGGGCAGAGGGGAAGAGAGAAGCAGACTCCCTGCTGAGCGGGAGCCTGACATAGGGCTCCATCCCAGGACCCTGGGACTGTGACCTGAGCTGAAGGCAGACACTTAACCGTCTGAGCCACCCAGGCAGCACTACATGTGATCTCAAATGAGCACTTTTTAAAAAAAAGATTGTATTTATTTTTTTTTGAGAGAGAGAGCGAGCACAAGGGGTGGAGGGGGCAAAAGAAGAGGGAGAAGCAGACTACCCACTGAGCAGGGAGCCTGATGCAGTGGTCAGTCCTGGGACCCCAGGATCATGACCTGAGCCAAGCCAAAGGCAGACGATTAATAAACTGAGCCACTCAGGCACCCCTTAAATGAGCACATCTTTAAATATGACCCATGTTTTCTAGTAAGTAAACCTAGTAGTATGTTAGCTTATGTTAAGCTTGTGTTCATATAAAATTTCATAGATTCACCGATTGGCTTGCTTGCTTTAAAACAAAAAACCTTTCAAAATATCAGCTCTTACATTTTTGTAGTCCAGCTTTTATAAAATGTACAACCTGTAGTTTATCTTGTATAAATTTCATCAGCTGTTTCAGTTCCTGAGAATTTTGAACCTTTATTCTGCTGTCATATTAATTTTTTAGTCATAGGTGATTGGTAGCTTTGATAGCAGAGCTTCTCCATCTCCATCAGGCAATCCCAAGAAAGAGAATACTAAGCCAGTTTTCCAAAGTCTAGCCTTCATGTTGATACCTAGCCTAATTATCCTGGAATATTTTATGAAATACCATTTGAGATTCCTCTTGATATTTCTATAACAAAAAGTTGAAATATATGTAATAGACAATGAGGGAGAGACTGGAATTTCATTTTGTAAATATGCCAGGTTAGATCATACATTTTGTTGGATGTTCAAGATTTTAGTACTATTGCATGAATATCCTTTAAGCCACTAAATGTTTTGGGGGAGGTCTCCCCTTTCCCCAAGCCAGATGTTTGTATTTCTGCTTTTTATCTTAATCCTTAAATCATATAGTGATATAATTTACTATCTTTAATTGTGGAGGTCGGGTTTTAGTATCTTTTCCTGACTACTAAATGTATTTCCTCCCCATCTATAGGATATTGAAGTCCTTTGAGGAACTGTGAAGTCTTTCACTTCAGTCATGTAAAATGAAACTGCTTTAACCTACTTATTCATTTACCATTTAATCTGTATGAGACAATTCATATATGTGTAGCTATTTCCCCAACTAGTTACATAGTCATGGGTAAATGTGCCCTTTTTCCTCATCTGCTAAGTTGGGGAATTAAATGGACTTTAAGACTAGTTTTTTACTCTAACATTCCATAATTCGATGAGGTCCTTTTAGTTGAAGGTAGGATTTCTTGGACTTGTGAGTGAATAGCCAGCAGGTAACGCATGTTTTCCTGTCATAGGCACTACCAAGATATTTGATAAACCAAGGAAGCGAAAACGACAGAGGCATGCTACAGCCAAGGTGCACTGTAAAAAAATGAAAAATGACGACTCATCAAAAGAAACTCCAACCTCAGAGGTATTACTCAGTTCCTCATCTTTTGACCTTCCAAAGAAAATCTACTTTTCACAGTAGAGGCCACACCCCTCTTTCCCTTGAGTTTACTTAAGAATAATGTTTTACTGAAACTAGCTAATAATAGCTGTAAGAAGACATATATGGCAACTATGGGTATGATCTTTTTAAAAGATCGGATCCTATGCTCTAGGTATCTGATAAATTTTGTAACTTTCATCACGAAGTAAGCTTTTTCTAAAACCAAAGTACAATACCAAGTAACCATATGATCCGAATGAACTTGGGTATTGCCCTTTAAAAGTTGAGACTGCTACAATTAGAAGGGAAACTCATTTGCTTATTTCTTGAGACCATCAACTGCTTAATTTTAGACTAATGTTTGTAAACATTGGCTTTTAAGGAAACAAAAAACAAAGGTAGATTTAAAACCATTTCCTTGTAGAGCATCAGTGCAGTCATTGATGCTATCTCTGGCTTTTCAACTCAGGTTAAAGGAGAATTAGAACAAGTGAGGTCAGCTTTACACATTATGATACAGAGTGTTTCTTTCCAGGATAAATTGAATAGAATGCCCAAGGGGGGCATTATTTAGGAAACACTGATCTTGGAAGGATAAATAAGTAATCAAATAAACTTAAGAATGTTTTCTCTCCCTTAGTGAAACCTTAAAATGGAACAGCTCAAAAAGTTCCAGTGGAACAGCCTCAGAGCAGTTAGTGGCAGGGCATGAGGCGCCCACTACCCGCCCAATCACAGCAGGGTTAGAACTAACATTGCATGCAGTCCGCCCGCGTGATTGGCTGAACATCTGTAAGTGCTTAATGGCTAGACAAATAGCAGCCCAGAGGGAGGGGGTCAGATGGAGGAGACATCAATAATACAGATGTGGGACATTATTTTTTCTCTGCAAGGGAGAACTGATGACACACAGAACGGCTGCAAGCCCTAAGGAGACTGTTGAGGAGGGTGTAGAAAATGATCATGGGATGCCGGCATCTAAAAAGCTGCAGGGCGAACGAGGCGGAGGAGCTGCACTCAAGGAGAATGTTTGTCAGGTAGAGGATGTTGCCCACTTGGATTTTGATTGCATGTCTTTTAAGAGAAGCCCTCTCCATCTCTTGATAACCCAGTCATGGTTAGAATAAACATTTTCCTGGATGATTCCAGTAGAGTCACTTCCCTTTAAGGATTTAAGTCTTACCCCTTTTTACAAAAAGAGAAAGGAAAAGAAATATTTAGTGTTGGTCAATCACTTGCCCTTGTTACCCATGAGTAGATTCCATGAAGCCGGTCTGAGATGGGAGAAGGTGAATCTGGTGATTGCTTAAAGATCATTTTCCTGTATGTTTCATGGTGTGAGAATCTCTGGGTTTCTAAGGAATGCTGCAAGGGAAATTTTCACTTTAAGATTTCTTTTCCTTTAAAGTAGTGACTTCAGAGAATCTACCACCTGCCTTTTTATATTTATTTAGTAAGTATTTATACAGTGTTTACTGTGTGTCAAGAGTTTCCATCACTTTATAAATATTCCGGGGGCGCCTGGGTTAGGCAGCCGACTCTTGATTTCAGACCAGGTCATGATCTCAGAGTTGTGAGATCGAGGCCCACATCAGGCTTAAGATTCTCTGTCCCTCCCCACTTCCAGGAAAATAAATAAATTTAAAATATAAATAAAAACATAAATATTAAGTCATTTAGTCATAACAGTCTTGTAAAGTAGATTACCATTATTGTCCTCATTTTTATAGATGAGGAAACTGAGGCATAGAGATGTTACATAACTTGCTTATAGTCACACAGCAAAGCCAGGATTCAAACTCAAGCAGTCTGAGTTTAGAGCTAATCACTATGTTGTGTTGCCTCTCTGTAAAAAGCCTTTATCAGACTTGGGAGTAGAGTCAATTAAATGGATGCTTTAGTTATGTTCTCTTTTTTATGGGCTTGATTTACCTTTGTAAATTCTTAAAAGCTGGCCTATAAAAAGTTGAAGATAATTAGTTTTTTTTTCTTTTTTTTTATTGAAACGGCTAAAAAACAAAAGTTAACCCAAGCCCAGAATATGTTATGATAAACAATAGAATTTCAACTCAGTTTTTTTGTTTTTTCATTTTCACTATTATATAAAGAAGGTTGATCATATTCAGATCAGCACCCACACACAGTGTTTGTCCTTAAAGACTATATGGCCACAAAGATTATCAACAAAAAATGGTTAAAGAGATAGTTGCATTGTGGTCCTGGATTGTTTGGATCACTCTTTGTTTATCTGTTGTCCTTGTTTAATTTATTAATATCGTGTCCTTTCACTCACATGGTTACCATTTTGAAAGATGAAATTACATGGTCATCCCTGCTAAAGGGTTAGTCCGTAACATTTGCTTAACTTGAAAACATTCTTTGATATATACTGTAATTGAAGTTTTCCTGTTTAAATGGTGATGGCGAATTTGTTTATTGTACATGAAAGCTGGTATCACTGGCACTGTGAATATACAAAAGAAAGTAGGTAATATTTATGGCATTTGTCAATTTTTATCTGTGAATAGGGGATAATGGAAGAGCCAAAGTGTAAGACTAATTTACACTATAGGTTAAGACTTTGGGGTCTGTCTGTTCTTTATCCCTGGCTGCCTCTGGCATTTTTTCCCAGAGCTCTCCTACTCATTTGTTCATTTAAGGTTTGATGTTAAGTGGCCAAGACCTGTTGTTTCTTTGGGTTCTTGAAGATATTAGACTTACCTAGTCGCCTTCCCTCTTTCTTGTCTTCCACAATAAGACTCTTTTTCATTTTTAGTATTTTCCTGCTAATCACTATGGGGAAACGTCAGGCTGTTAGAGGGATGAAAGTAACAAATGTTGGGAATTTGCAGAATTTTCATAAATCTTATGTTTTGAAAGCAGCAGACCCAGATCTTCATTTCCTAACGCCCTATTATAAATGACACCCTGTCTTAGATGAGATCATCTCAAAGGTGACCTCTCTGAGATGGTTGTAGATGTAACTCAAACATTGTTCAAACCTTGATTGGAGCCCTTTTGAGACTGTTAACAACCCAAGTCTAGCTAACCAGTATCTCTTGCTTGAACTACTACAGTAGCCTTCTTGATTGTCTCTTTGCTACTATTTTCACCTGTTTCATTCTTGAACTCATTTTCCATGTAGTAATCAGAGGAATCTGTTTTTAAATATCTCACTTTAGCCTTCCTTTGTTAAAGACTTCTAAGGGCACACCTCTGTAATTAGAATAAAATCTGAAACTGTAGCATAATGTGTAAGGCCACACAATCAGGCTGTTGCCTTTTTCTTACCTCGTCTTCTACCACTTCTAACTTTTGTTCATTTTAGTCCACTGACTTTCCTTATGATTCTCAGACATGACATAGTTTTTCCTATCTGTGGACTTTCTGTATTTGTCTTCCTGGTCTTTCTGTCAGATCATGTGACTGACTTGGAGTTCGGAACTCCATCTGAGAGGCCATTCCCAATCACCCAATCCAAAGTAGCTGTTTGAATTCTCTACTTAATGCTTATCATTATCTGATATCTTTCCTGTTTGTTTACTTGTATTTTCAGTTCTTAGAATATATGAATCATGAGAGCCAGGGACTTTGTGGAACCTGGCATAGACGAGTTAATCATTAAATATTGGCTGAATAAATGGTGAGCTTTCTTTCTGGAAAGCTGCTGCTTAATCTTTTCCTTCATGAAGGCCTTCTGCTTGGGACTTTAAAAATCCTTTCTCTATAGACATACCTGTTTTCTTTCTCTTAACAGAACTGTGAGAAACTGGGTGAGCTGCTGTTATGTGAGGCTCAGTGCTGTGGGGCTTTCCACCTGGAGTGCCTTGGATTAACTGAGATGCCAAGAGGAAAATTTATCTGCAATGAATGTCGCACAGGTGAAGTAGATATAGATGGGGTTTTCTTCCAAAGATGTTTTGAGTTTTAAGATTTTCAGGAAAAATTCCCAACATTTATTGCAGACACTTTTTATGGCAATACTGGGCTAGTTGCTACAGACACAGATAGGTGCTGTGTGATCTTTGCCTGTAGAAAAGAATACCAAGTGAATAATGAATGGATAGTATAATATAGTGCAGAAGGATTGTAGTAGAGATAGATTTATAGTGATAAGTGAGCAAAGATGAGCCAGTTCCACAGAGGAAGATAACTGAATTTGTCTTTAAAAGAGGCGTGGAAATTGGTGTGGGGAGGCTTAGGACAAGAAGGTCCAGTAATGAAAGTATTGAATATTGGGGAAATAGGAGGCATAGGTTAATGTGTTTAGAGTTTAAGATGCTTTAGGGAAGAGACATTGGTAGTGACAAGGAGGGTTTCTGGATTACTGGTGATGTTTTATATTTCTTGAGTGGTGATTACATAAGCGTGTTTTCTTTGATTATTTGTGAACTGTACACTTAGGATGCTGTACTTTTCTGTGTGTATATCATACGTGAACAAAACTGTTTACCAAAAAAGGAAAGCCATATTTTGAGAGTTATATAGATTGGCTCAGAAACTAAGAATGGTCAGATGTAACCACCTGTAAAGTACCTCACAGGCTATGCTAAGGAGATTGTTCTTTCTTCAGCATTATATGTGAATGTTACAGCATTGAAGTAGTAAGAAAAAATGGGGGCTAAAAGCTGTTACACTCCTAAATCATTAAAACCGCAGGTGTGAATGAACCTGCCCAAGGAGAAAGCATCTGGAGAGGGAGAAAAGGACCAACAAAAGTACTCAGGGGGTGCCCACATAAAAAAAAAAAACACTGGAGGGTGAGGAGGAGCTAGTCAAAGAATATCTGTGAAGCCAGGGAGAGTGGGGTGTCATGAGCAGGGGCATATGTGGCAAAGAGACCAAGGAGGTTCTGGGGTGATAAGAGGCTGTGATATTTAGCAGTGAGAAAAGGCTTGACTTTTTGCCAGAGGGTGCCACACTAAACCTGGTTGAAGGGCAATGGATAGCAGTATACACTACGTCTTAAAAAAGCTTGCTATCCATGGAAAAAGAGGGCAGTAGCTGAAGGGAGGATATTATAGGGTCAAGAGGAAGAACATCTTGAGTGTTTGTAGGATGAATGTTAAGAACCACATAGGGAAATAAATTCCTGCAACAGGAGAGGGAATAATTAGTAGAGTATAGCTACAAAGTGAGAGGAGAGAATAATCTTGGAGGTAGGAAAAGATAAAAGAGGAATATACCTTGGAGTTGGGAGGCAGAATAAAGAAGCCAATGTTTTTTCTTAGTTTGATGAGAATGATGGGGGAAAGGTGGTTTCTAACTTGAAGGTAGAGTATAGGTTTAGAGTAGCCCCTGTGGGAACAAGAGACAGATTTAACTTGTGTCTGTAAATCAGTGGCTGTGTCATATTGAGTTATCTCCTCTTTCTGCCACTACTTTTAGCAATGTGGGAATAAAAGCTGGAAGACAAGATTGTTGGGTTATTTTGCCTCCTGCACAGTGGGCTTTTGATCATTATGGGAAATAGTGCCATCCAGCCCTATAAATGAAATTTAGGAAAAAAAATTTTAGGTACGTGCATATCTCTTATCCTAACCTTAGAAAGATCTTGCCTTTTGTACAGATAATCCAGTTTTGCTAGTCTTATCTTTATTATAATGTGATATTCTCTGAACAAGTTAAGGCAAAGGTATTTTTTAAAGAATTAACCTTACTGAAGTATAATTTACCTACTATAAAATGCACTAGTTTTAATGTATGTTTTGAGAGGTTTTGATAAAATTTATAAACACCTATGTAACCACAAACATAATGAAGATTCAGAACATTTCCATCACTCCAGAAAGTTCCCTTGTACTTAGTCCCAGTTGATCCTTACGCCCCCTCATTTCCCCCTCCCCCAGTCCTATTTCAGGCAAACAATGATCTGCTTTCTGTAACTACACATTAGATTTATCTTTTTTAAGAGTTTCATATAAGTGGAACAAAATGTATGTAGTTTTTTGTGTCTAGCTCGGTGGAATGTTTTTGACACTCATCTGTGTTAATGTGTGTGTCAGTAGTTCATTCTCTTTCTTAAAACAGCTTTATTGAGGTATAGTTGATGTGCAGTAAACTGCGCAAAGTATAGTTTGGTAAGTTCTGACATACATATGTGTGTGTACATACTACCTGTGAAACCATCCATCAGCATAGTTAATTTGAGATTCAACAACATTGTTGTAGGTATTGAGAGTTCATTCCTTTTTATTGCTGGGTAGTATTCCATTGTATGGATGTATCACAGTTGGTGATACATATTCATTCATCTATTGATGTACATTTGGGTTGTTCTTAGGTTGGGGTATTACTAATAAAGCTGCTGTGACCATTCATGTCTTTGTATGGATACATTTTCTTTTTACTTCTGTAAATACCTAAGGGCAGAATGGCATGGTAGCTATATGTTTAACTTTTTAAGAAACTTCCGAAGTGTTTGTACACATTTTACATTCTCATCAGTAATGTATGAAGAGTTTCAGTTCTTCCACATCTTCATCAACACTTGGTATTGTCAGTCTTTTTAATTTTAGTCATTTGGACAGATGTGTAGTTGTATCTCATTGTGGTTTTAATGTGCATTTTCCTAATGACAAATGATGTTGTGCATCTTTTTAATGTGCTTTTTTGCCATGTTCCTTGATGAAGTATCTGTTCAAACCTTTTTTATTTTCTTACTGTTGAGTTTTAAGAGTTCATTATATATATTCTGGATACAAGTTATTTATCAGATACATACTTTTAAAATTATTCTACCAAACTGTGGGTTGGTTTTTCATTTTCTCGAGTCTTTTGAAGAGCAGTTTTTTTAGTTGTAATGATGTTGTTTATCAGTTTGTTCTCTTTAGAGATTTTGCTTTGGTGTCATATTGAAGAAATCTTGTATAACCCAATGTCACAAAACTTTGTTTTCTAATGAAAATTTTATAGTTTTTGGTTTCAGCTTTATGTCTAAGGCCTATTTTGAATTGATTTTTATATATGACGTGAAGGTAGAGTATAGGTTTAGAGTAGCCCCTGTGGGAACAAGAGAAATTTTAGGAATTTCACCCTAGTTTTAGTCAAGATGAATAGAGTAAGAATAAAGGAATCATTTCTTTTTTCTTGTGGCTCACCCTATTTTCCTAATGTGGAGTGACCACACCATAATTTAGGTTATTCCAGTTTAGTATTGGCATCAGGCAGTAAATAGTTTGCTTATTTCCAAATGCATAATTAAAATTTTTTCTTAAAATCATTATTAGCTGGGTGATCTTACGGTTCATAGGTGTGGTGGGTTATTTTAATGAATTCCTGTTTCCAGCAAGTGTTGGGGGCAAGATTCATGTTCAGGTCTGTCTCTCAAGCCTGGGCTCTTTCCCTTATTTTGTATTGCTTCTCAGAGGTAGTTTCTTTTTTTTCTTTTTTAATTTCCCTTTTCTTAAACTTTGTATTACAGAAATCCTCAGACATTTACAAAAGTAGAACAGTATAAAATAACCCTATGTATTCATCGTTTAGCTTCAGTAGTTACCAGTTTTCTGCCTCTGTTTACCCATATATTTCTTTTTATTTTTTATTTGTTCCAGGGGTACAGGTCTGTGATTCATCAGTCTTATATAATACCCAGTGCTTTACCCATATATTTCAAAAGGTCTAACACAACTTAAAAAAATACATCTAATGTGTAGCAAAATTATACAGTAACTTCTGTGTGTCACCTACTGCCCAGTCCCATTTTCAAATTTTCCCATATGTCTCAAAGATGTCTTCTTACAGTATTTTAATCAAGATCCAAATAAGACTGCCTTTATTGTATTTTTTGATATGTCTCTTAAATTTCTTTTAATCTACAACAGTACACCCTCATCCTATTTTTTAATGTCATTTATTTGTTAAGACAATGGTCATTTGTCCTGCTAAATTTTCTGCATTGCATATTTGGTTGATTGCATCTTTCAGGTGTCCTTAACTTGTTCCTCTATCTTCCATATTTCCTGGAAACATGTAGTTAGATCTAGAGGCTGGATTAATTTCAGGTCAGTTTTCTTTTGGCAGTAATGCTTTGTAGGTAGTGTGTACTTTCTATTGCATCACATCAGCAAGCATATATTATCAAGAGTTTCTCACTTAATGATCTTAAGATTGTTCATTAGGTTCATGTTATCAGCCTGATAAGTCTATTACAAAGTTCTTTACTGTGATATATAATAAAACATACATATTTTGGTCTTTTAGCTTGTGGCACAGAGCTCCCAAAACCTTGGCCTCTCCTAAGCGGTGAGAGTGATAAAGATGTCCTTTGTGTGTGTTTTATTATGTTAATAAAAGACGCACCTGAGGATGGGGGCTTGATTGCCAGGAGAAACAACCTTATGATTAGAGGGCTAGAACTCTCACTCCTATCCCCCTAATCTCTAGGGAGGGGAGGGGGCTGGAGGTTAGGTCAATCCCCAGTGGCCAATGGTTTAATCAGCCTATGCAATGAAGTCTCCATCAAAACCCAAAAGGATGGGTTTCGGAAGCTTCTGGATTGGTAGGTATGTGGAGATTCAGAATAAAGTGGTGCTCTTGAAGAGGGCATGGAAGCTCTACACCCTTTCCTCATACCTTGCCCTATGCATCTCTTCCATGTAGCTATTCATGAGTATTATCTTTCCATGATAAACTGGTGATTCAGTAAATAAAATGCTTCTCTGAGTTCTATGAGCCATTATAGCAAATTAAACCCAAGGAAGTGGGGGTTGTAGGAACCTCTGATTTATAGCCAGTCAGAAGTATAGGTGACAACCTGGACTTGAGACTGGCATCTGAAGTTGGGGGCAAGGACCGTCTTGTAGAATTGAGTCCTTAACCTGTGGGATATGATGTTACTTCCATGTAGATAGTTTCAGAATTGAGTTGAATTGTAAGACACCCAGCTGGTGTTGGAGAATTGCTTGGTGGTACGGAGCACTGCCCCTCCCCCCCCAGTATTGGAACTTGGTACAGAATTGTGTACTTAATAAACTTTTCATTAATGGTTTAGCATTGGATGATTTCTTGAATTGGTGTTAATTTATTACCTTCCTTTTGTTTACCAGGAATCCATACCTGTTTTGTTTGTAAGCAGAGTGGAGAAGATGTTAAAAGGTGCCTTTTGCCCTTGTGTGGAAAGTTTTACCATGAAGAATGTGTCCAGAAGTATCCACCCACTGTCATGCAGAACAAGGGCTTCCGGTGCTCCCTCCACATCTGTATAACCTGCCATGCTGCTAATCCAGCCAGTGTTTCTGCATCTAAAGGTATGGGTTTCTCACATGGACTGGTCTAATTGTAGAACTTTGGTGTCACTTGTGTATTTCCAGATGCGATGTGGCGTATCTCTTCATGGCCTCTCTAGCTTTTGTCAGAGTACCAGCATTTTATGTGAGAGAGAAGAAAATAATGGACTAGTCCAACAGTTCCCACATTGTATTCTATGGAGCCCTGTTGTTATGTGGTGGCTTCAGATATTTGGATTTCACGTGATATTTAGTTTGAGAAAGTGTTCTGCTGTAGGTCTTCCTCTCCCTACTCCATTAGACCAAAATACATTCTTTTCCTGTGGACCCTTTATCTCTGTGGTTGTCAGATGTGATATTATTCAGGTACGAATTTAGGGCAGAATTTAGGTTTTTGTTTTGTGTTGATTTGTTTTGTTTTTTAAATTGGAAACTTCTATCCTGACACCTCTTTCCTGCTTTATAGAGAGCTGAGGTTTCCAAAAGTATGCCCAGAGAGTCCCTACTTCTCCCATAAGGGATTGAGCAGGAAACATTTACCAGATACTACTTAAGACATTTGTGCACATACCCAGTGTTTTGTCTTTTCTTCTAATTAGACTGGCAGTACCTTTTGTAATATGATTTCCTGAGCCTATAGATCTCATTGGTCTTAAGTACAGTAATTTCACTTGCTTGATCAAAATTATAGTTTAACTATCAGCTTATTTTCCCCTTTTCAGTTGCTGTTGTAGATTGCATTTAGGTGGTTTGGTAATGGTTTTTAGTAGGTGATGTATATTAGAGGACATATTTTATCTGGAAGGGGTGGGAAGTTTCATTCACCTAAAAATTCAGGCTTTAAGAATCAGTACCAGGCAATGAAAGCAAGCATTAGTCTTTCTCCTAGCTGCCTTTTTATTCTGATTGTGAACATCCCCCCTATTTAGTTTGGGGCTGATGCCAGGTTTCCTAGAAGTCAGGGCAGTGGATTGAATAGGGCTTTCCTTGGTGAGGCAGGCTCACTTAACAGTTGTGGGATCTGACTCCTTTATGGCAGCTTATCACATAGCTCCCATCTGAGCTTTTCATAGTGAATTGTGTGTTTTGTGATCCCTTGTCCTACCTAGTAGTGCTTTCTTCTATTAGTGACATTTTCTCAGTGCTGACAAAGAGATTTCAAAACTCATGTTGCTTTTATGTTTTCTTTGTTTTTCTTTTACTACTGGTTTTCCTGCTTCTTGTAATTTTAGGTCGTCTGATGCGTTGTGTCCGCTGCCCTGTGGCATACCATGCCAATGACTTTTGCCTGGCTGCCGGGTCCAAGATTCTTGCATCTAATAGTATCATCTGCCCTAATCACTTTACACCTAGGCGGGGCTGCCGAAATCATGAGCACGTTAATGTTAGCTGGTGTTTTGTATGCTCAGAAGGTAAGACATGACTGCTTAATATATGAATAGTCTAAAAAGAGATTAATACAATATTCTAATGGCAACAAAAATTATTTTCTTCACATTGTTACTAGAGAAATATTAGGAAGTAATGTCCTGAATTAATGATAACATAGCAAACGTTTAAACTTGTTTTTTTCCCCCAATAGGGAGAGGTTTTATTTTATTATTTTGAATAATGACCTTATTTTTATTAAAACGATGAACAGATGAAGGGCACCTGAGTGGCACAGTCATTTGAGCATCTGACTTGGTTTTGGCTCAGGTCGTGATCTTAGGGTAGTGGGATCGAGCCCTGCCTTGGGCTCAGCGCTTATCACGGAGTCTGCTTGATCTTCTCTCTCCCTCTGCCCATTCCCCTATCCCCTACTTCTCGCGTGCATGCATGTGTACACACACACTCTCTTAAATAAATAAACATGTTTAAAAAAATAAATAATAAACAAATGAAACAATAAAGAAAAGGTCATGGGAAAGGAAACAAAATCACCCTTGGAAAATGGGAGAATATGATCAAAAAAGAATACAAACTTCCAGTTAGAAGATGAGTAAGTTTGGGGGACTTAATGTACAGCATGGGAACTGTAGTTAACAATACTGTATTGTATATTTGCAAGCTGCTAAAGAGAGTAGATCTTAAAAATTCTCACTACCACCCCCCCCCAAAAAATTGTAACTATGTGAGGTGTTGGATGTGTTACCGAAACTTATTTCAGCAATCATTTCACAATATATACATATATCTAGTCATTCTGTTGTACACTTTAACCTTACACAATGTTATAGTTATATCTTAATAAAGCGGGGGGGGGGAGGAAAGGTAAACTGGAGGGAGGAAATCAATCTAAATTGGAGGGAGGGTGGGAGGAAATAAATAAATAATCCTAAATTGTCCCAAGTCCCACCATCAGAAAAAACCATTGGTTAAATTTAAGTGATACTACTTAAGACATTTGTGCATATACCCAGACAGCAGGGGTAGATACCTAGATAGAAACAGTTCTAGAAGATGGTATTAATATTGTGCAATTGTGTATCTTTTTTGTTAAATCATTTATTCATGAATTTAAAGGGTGAAACAAAGGGAAAGTGAAGGAATTTATGAATGTCTATAAAATGTTTCCTCACTGTTAAGGATATTAATTCCTAGAAGTTCTTCTAAAGTGGAGGAAAAATAAATTTTATATCTTTTTTTTCCTTCAACTTAAAACATCTCCTTTAGAATAGTCAGTGTTGTGCTTCTTATATACTTTTTCTTTCCATTTTTCACAGCCTCATTTTTGCTAGTTATTATAAGTGGATGATTTAGTAATCATCACTAGTCTATTTACTGTGGTGCTTTTATAGTTCTCATTTCCTTATTTTAATTTTTTCTGTGGTGGGCTTAACTTCCAGGAAGCACCCACAGGTGCTATAATCCTCTGCTTGAGGCTATTTGACATCTGCCCTCTATACCATAAGCCTGTGTTGGTTTGCTATAAAACTTGTAAGCTATATGTTCTATTTCTAAGACTGTTGTGGACATTGCTTCACTATTTTTTTCTGATGTTAAGGGTGGCACCAGTTCTCTTACCTAGTTTCTTCATTACTTTTCAAATTGATGAAATTTTGTTGATTAGTCATTTGGGGGGGGAAAATTTCTCTCCCTTTTCTGTTTTTGAATACTGGTAATGCAATTTCATGAAAACTTGGCTGGTTATGAACATTTTGAGGGACTGATATTTGTTTATTTGAGAGAGAGCATGTGTGCGATTGGAGGAGAGGGAGAAGCTTAAGCAAGCTCCACACCCAGCTTGAGCCCAGTGTGGGGCTCAGTCTTACAACCCTGGGAGCATGAGCTGAGCTGAAATTGAGTCAGATGCTTAACCAGCTGAGGCACCCAAGTGCCCTCTGAGGGACTCAATTGAAAAGTCAAAATGTGTAATTGAATGAGCATCCCTTTTGAGAAATTTAGATATACTAAATAGTGCTAAAGCCAAAAAAAGAAGTTTTTTTGACTGCTTTATGTGATTGAAAATGGTCAATTTGGAGTGTGTGTTCTTAGAAGATTTATGTAACATGACAATTTAAGGAAAAGTTAAACTTAACTGACTAGAGTTTTACACCAGGACATGGTTTGTATCCTCAAACTATGCTGCTAATACAGAATAAATAAAAAGAATCTTAAGTGCAGTTCTGTGGATAGAAAGGGAGGGAACCTTTGGTGTAGAGATGTTTTAATTCACAAAGTGGACATTTTTCTTTGTTCTTATGATACCTGCTTCTTATAACACGGTCTTGTGGTAGGTACTGCTGCCTCTTTATCGTAGCACCCTTCTTTTGTTTAGAAGAAAGTTAGAGATAAGAGTTTTGGTATTCAATAACATTTAAATATAACTTTCTATAATTCTGGTCTTAGACTAAAAACAGGTTTCTGGGAGGCTGAAGTGTAAGCTCCAAAAGTTTTCTACAGTTCTTGGAGATGGGACGATGAGACAGTTTCAGCATTAGACCTTTCTTTTTATTTTTTAAGGAGAGAGAGAGAGAATTTTATGGAGGCTCCCGAGGGGCTTGATCTCATAACCCTGAGATTATGACCTGAGTCGAATTCCAGTCAGATGCTTAACTGACTGAGCCACCCAGGCGCCCCAGCATTAGACCATAATTCCAGAGTGGATGGTTTAGAGTGAGGGTGCCCATAGCATTCCTGACATGGAGCATCCTAACTGAAAAGCTATTGAATCCAATAATGGATACTCATAATGATAACTTAGTCACCTAGAAAACTTAGTAGCTCCAGCAGCAGCCCTCAAAAGTGTGATCCATGATCCTTCGGAAGGGGTGAGGACCCAGAGGCCCTTTTAGGGGCTTCCATGAAATCATAACTCTTTTCATAATAATAATAAGATATCACGTGCCTTTTATAGTTTGTTGACATTTGCACTGATGGTTCAAAAACCAGTGGTGGGTAAAACTGCTGGCACCTAATACAAATCAAGGCATTGGCTCTAAAACATACAAGTAGAATCAGTCATTATATTCTGTATTACCACATGCTCTCAGTAAAAAAAAAAAAAAAAAGTTTCACATAAGACTGTTCTTGAATAACATTTATTAATTTTATTAAATCTCAACCCTCAGGTGAACATTGTTTTAATATTCTGTTATAATAAAATAGAAGTACACTAAAGTAGATCTGTTGCATACTGAAGGTTAAGTTAAAGCACTCATGTAGTTGAGTGGCACCTGGGTGGTGCAGTTGGTTGAGTGTCCGATTCTTGGTTTCAGCTCAGATCATCATTTAGGGTTCATGAGATTGAGCCCTTGTGTTGAGCTCCCCGCTTTGGTGGGGAGTCCGCTTGGGATTCTCTCTCCCTGTCCCCTCCCCCTGCTGTGTCACACTTTTTCTCTTCACCCCACAAGTAAATAAATCCTTAAAAAAATATTTGTGGGCGCCTGGGTCGTTCAGTTGGTTAAGCGACTGCCTTTGGCTCAGGTCATGATCCTGGAGTCCCAGGATCGAGTCCCACATCGGGCTCCCTGCTCAGCAGGGAGTCTGTTTCTCCCTCTGACCCTCTTCCCTCTCGTGCTTTCTATCTCTCATTCTCTCTCTCTCTGAAATAAATAAATAAAATCTTTAAAAAAAATATTTGCAAAAATGTAAAACTTGTTAGCTCACTAACAATTTTTTATTTTGGAAAATATAGTTATTTTTTTTACAAAAATGTTATTTTTATTAACATAATAGATTTATTGTTATTTTTAAGTGAATTAATAAATGTTTTATTAGATTTATTGTTAATTTTATGACCTGAACCGAAATCCAGTCAGATGCTTAACTGGATGCTCTAAATATTTATTAGATTTATTAATTATTTTATCAGATTTAATAGATTTATTATTTTTAAGTGAATTAACAAATATTTTAAAAATTTCTTAGTTTTGGTTCCAGTTTAGTAAGTTTAATATTTTTAGCCTACATAAACAAAACTTCTTTGGGAATCTCCATCATTGTTCAAGAGTATAAAGTTATCCTGAGTCCAGAAAGCCTGAGAACTGCTGGTCCTACTCTCTAAGATTATCCTGCTATTAGACAACAGAGACAGAGTAGAGCCTTAGGACATTTTTGCCCGTGTAGGGAGAAAGCTGAAGGTGATCATTCAGAGTATTAGGATAATAATATGGTAAACTGCTAAATTGAAAGGAACAAGTTCCTGGAATTCAGCAATGTGCTTAAAATTTATTTTCTCTTACCTCTTCCACAGAATGTCACTTTTTTCTCTTTTGCTTTCTTTTGATGGTTCATGTAGTTTTCCCTCTTCTGTCTTACTGTCCTTTCTCCTATACATCTCCCTTACTGCCACCAGATAAACTCTCCTGCCTACCTCCCATCCATTTACCCAGATTAATTCTATTGATTTCTTTTGTCATATTCTCTCTCAGCTCATATCATGTCCTTCCCTGCAAAACTGTTTGCCACGATTTCCCCTCAGCTCTGTCCTTAGCCTTTCTTCAGTGGGTATTCTTATATGCAGATTTCTTTTCATGCTATATAACCTCCTTTTAAGGCCTAGTGCAAAGACCTTGTTGTACAGGAAATATTTCTAGTGTGTTATGAAAGCCAGCTTACTAAAAGGAAGATTTTTCTACCAAGTCCATGTAGTTGGCAAACTACACGGTTAATCAGATTGTGACTTAGCAGATAACTAAACATAAATAAGAAATGTTCTAGAAGGTGTATTATTGGGGCAGGTAAATTATGTCACTCTACATCACTCTTATGTCCCATGCTAAGATTGTTCGACTCATCCTACGAAATGCACAAGAACAGCTAAATATGAGTTTCAGAGCAGAGAGTACAGGCTATATGTATTGAGTAAACAAGTTCTTCAAACTTGTTGTAGCAACAGACTTTTTTCCAAATGAAATATCACTGAATCAAGCTTCAGTATACGACAGAGATAAAAGGAGAGCTTCTTTAATTGAAAAGGAGTTGGGTCTTAAGCACATAGTCCTGGCCCCAAGAAAATAAACACCCCAGAGCTTAACACCCCAGAGCTTATTTTAAGAGCTTGCTGCAGATGATTGAGAAAAGGAAAAAGTCAGCCTGGATAGGATGGTGTCACAGAATCTAAGTTTTTTATAGGATATTACGAGGCAAAAGGGGCACAGTAAAACTCAGATGATGTGGACATATACTTTGCTAAGGCTTTATGCCCCACTAACTTCAGGATGAGATTTGGAGTTACATGCTTGAGTCTAGCATGTTTGAAACATGCTCGTTTCTGGCATAAGATAATAGGGTATTTTTGATGGCTGCATAATATTCCTCTGTGTGTGTGTGTGTGTGTGTGTGTATGTATACACACACACACACACACACACCACATCTTTTTTATCCATTCATCTGTTGATGGACATCTTGGCTCTTTCCATAGTTTCGCTATTGTGGACATTGCTGCTATAAACATTGGGTGCATGTACCTCTTCGGATCGCTACGTTTGTATCTTTGGGGTAAATATCCAGTAGTGCAATTGCTGGATCGTAGGGTAGCTCTATTTTCAACTGTTTGAGGAACCTCCATACTGTTTTCCAGAAATCTTGCCGTTTGCGACGACATGGATGGAACTAGAGGGTATTGTGCTAAGTGAAATAAGTCAATCAGAGAAAGATATGTATCGTATGATCTCACTGATATGAGGAATTCTTAATCTCAGGAAACAAACTGAGGGTTGCTAGAGTGGTGGGGGATGGGAGGGATGGGGAAGGCTGGGTGATAGACATTGGGGAGGGTATGTGCTATGGTGAGCGCTGTGAATTGTGTAAGACTGTTGAATCACAGATCTGTACCTCTGAAAGAAATAATACATAATATGTTTAAAAAAAAAAAGATGGTAGGAAGGGAAAAATGAAGGGGGCGAAATCGGAGGGAGAAATGAGCCATGAGAGACGATGGACTCTGAGAAACAAACTGAGGGTTCTAGAGGGGAGGATGGTGGGGGGATGGGTTAGCCTGGTGATGGGTATTAAAGAGGGCATGTATTGAATGGAGCACTCGGTGTTATACGCAAACAATGAATCATGGAACAGTACATCAAAAACTAATGATGTATGGTGATTAACATAACATAATAAAATAAAATTTAGAAAAGATAATAGGGTATTGGGTGCCTGGGTGGCTCAGTTGGTTGGGCAACTGCCTTCGGCTCAGGTCATGATCCTGGAGTTCCGGGATCGAGTCCCGCATCGGGCTCCCAGCTCAGCGGGGAGTCTGCTTCTCTCTCTGACCCTCCCCCCTTCTCATGCTCTCTCTATCTCATTCTCTCTCTCAAATAAATAAATAAATAAAAATCTTTTTAAAAAAAAGATAATAGGGTATTTATTATATTCCTTAAATATGAATCCTCTATCTGAAATTTTTTATAGTCTGAAACTATGAGGATTTCAGCCTCAGATGCATAAACTGAATTCCTCTGAAAATCTTTAGGAAGTGAAAATTCATTGTCATTGCAGTATATGTAATTATCCTGGTGTCTGAAAACCTCAGTGGAGAAGGGGAGAACATTTATTTAACTAAGTTTAGGCAATAAACCACATTAGTACCTATGATTTTGGTCACCAGTGAAAATCACAGATATTTCAGTTGTAGATATCTTAAAATATTTTGCAGTCATTGTTACTGCTAGATCTTATGTATTACAAAGAAACATGTAACTCTAATCTCTTATTTTAACATTTTGATAATTATACCTTAATGTAACAGTGTCCTTTTAATTTATGTGTTAGGTTAATGTTTATAAATGTTATTCTGAAAAGAGCCCATAGGTGTCAGAGTGCCAAACATAAAAAAGATAAAAGAGTAATTTTAAAAGGGGAAAGGAACTGACCATATGCGGACTACTTATGTGTTAAACATTACTGTGCCATTTATTCACTGTTTAGTCTTCAAATAGATGTGATTATTTACTGTTCGGTGTGGAAAATTTAGTGTATTGTCTTTTAGTGAAGAGAAAGAAATGTGTATATGCCCATAACTTGACTTTGAGCGGTTGACTTCTGACCTCACTGCCCTAACCTAATTTTGCCAGTGGGACCTTATGTTTATTTGCTGTGAATATAACAAACCCTCAAGGTTGTGGTTCACAGGGAATATTGGAGAGGGAATAAGTGCTCTTGTAGAAGTCTTTCTGAATAACTAAATTACTAAGCCCTTCGCTGGGAGTTAAATAATTGGTTAGGAGCAAAAGCTGTTTCAGCTGGGTTATTATATGCAGTCTTGTGATTCTGAGTGCCAGATTTTTTGATTCCCACAGGAGGCAGCCTTCTGTGCTGTGATTCTTGCCCTGCTGCTTTTCATCGTGAATGCCTGAACATTGATATCCCTGAAGGAAACTGGTATTGCAATGATTGTAAGGCAGGCAAAAAGCCACATTACAGGGAAATTGTCTGGGTAAAAGTTGGACGATACAGGTGAGTGAGCATGAAGGAAATTGGCACTGACTTCTTTTACCATCCCATCCTCTGTTTCTTGAGATCTCAGATACAGTGCTTAACTCTTTTCTTTTTTCTTTTCCTTCCTTCCTTCCTTCATAATTTTTCTGATTAAGCAAGGTCCACCCTTCTCCCCATTAATTTTCCATTACAAAAGAAAAAAACTAATTTTTATGTTTTGTGATTATAGGAATAATACATATTCCCTGTAGAGAATTCATTAATGAAAATAAAATCCATAACAAACAAGGAAGATACATTGCTAGCAGTTTGGAGTATTTTCTTAGAGACACACCAATGCATGTACCCTCAAAATAATTGGCCTTATATTTTATACTCAGTTTTGTGTCTTTTCCTTTTTAAAATTATTTTTATTGAACATGGAACATACAAAAGAATATCATAACATGCATGATTTAAAAGAATCAGAAAGGAATATCTGTGTATGTACCTCCCATTTAAAGAAAATAGCATATTGCTAGTACTTTTGAGGCTCCCTCCATGACCCTTTCTGAATCCACTCTCTTCTCACCCCGAGAGGTAAGCACTATACTGCATTTTGTGTTTTTTATTCCTTTGCCTTGCTGTAATGGTTTACCACACGTATAATGTTTTGTTCTGCATGTTTTAGACCTTTTCATAAAGAAATTGTTGCTATATTTTCCTGCAGCTTGCTTTTTTCATTTACTGTTACGCTCCTGAGATTTAATAGTAGTTAGTGCAGTGCTCTAGTTCATACTTTGCTGTTCTACATTTCTTCTTGATATAGTCTTAACAAAACAGTGCAGTTCGTTTATCCATTCTCCTTTTTGGACTATGAGCATTTTGTTAGTGTTCCTTAGTGTACATGCACAGTTTTTCTAGGAATAGGGGTTTCCAGCTGAAATAGCTAATGCCAAATTGTCTTCCTAAAGTGGACGAAAAGCATTAATTTACATGCTTTTTATTTTCGGAGGCATTTCTTGGTGTCATTGTTCTATGCCCCTCACAATTATTGAAACTTTTCCTTTTTAAAGGCTAAATTATATTTCATTGTATCATATACTATAGGTACTTTAACATTCCCTAAATGTTGGGCATTTCGATTGTTTCTAGGTTTTCATTCTTATAGATAATACTTTAGTGAACATTATAGTCAAAGCTTTGTTTATATCTTCTATGAGATAATTATTTACTGTTAAATTATTATTTCCTTTATAGATTCCTTAAAGTAAAATAACTGAGTCTAAAAAGTATATATGTGAGCATATCTGTGAGAATGGCCATTTTCAGGTTTTCAGCACATACTGCTTATTTGTTCTCTAGTTAGATTGTAAAAATTGACTAGGTTGGACTTTCATGTAGATAGACATCACTATTCCTTATTCCTGTCCTAAAAGGTAGGTCATTTTCTTAGTGTCTTGCAGTCTTCTAAAGGTTTCCTTCCTTGTTTTCACCTTTCCCAGGTGGTGGCCAGCTGAGATCTGCCATCCTCGAGCTGTACCTTCCAATATCGATAAGATGAGACATGATGTGGGCGAGTTCCCTGTGCTCTTCTTTGGGTCTAATGACTATCTGTGGACACATCAGGCCCGAGTCTTTCCCTATATGGAGGGGGATGTGAGCAGCAAGGATAAGATGGGCAAAGGCGTGGATGGGACATATAAAAAAGGTAACTTTATATTTTTGTTTCTCAGGCCAACACAGACCTCTGTTGCCCAAGTATCTATTCTGTTACGTGTTAGAATTCACATATGTTCCGTTAGCGGCTGTGTTCTGCTCTCTGGGGCAGCTACAGGATTTTACAGGAAAGTTGATCCACATAATTCATTACTTTTGAGCCTAGCCTTTATGTAACAGGAATTTCCTTGAGGGAGGTTTTTGTCTTACCAGTTCTGTTTTCTCAGCATCTTATCAAAAGTACTGGAGCTTTGGAACTATTTTATAGCCTAAACCCTGTGGTTTGCTAGACAAGAGTCAGATTCTCTAATAGAGTTGTGTTTGTTCCAAGGAAGTTACAGAGAAGTTATAGAGCAAAATAAAATAGTGAAAGTCAAAGCATAAATGTTCTGAATCAAAAGGGATTTTTTTAAGCTGGCCTAGCAGTGAAGGAGTAGGGACATTTGGGTTAGAAGGAGTTGAGTCAACTATGAGCCTCAGTTTTCTCTTACTATATAATGAGTAAAGGTTGCACTGGGAATTCAGTGAGGTAATAAAAACAACCAGCAGAGCACATAGTTGGTATCCGATCAATGATAATTATCTTCTTCCTTTAGCTGTCCTTTGAAAGGCAGTATAGGTATCTCTTATTATTCGAAGATACTTGGACATTGAAGTATATAGATTTTGTATGGTGAGGTGGAGATTCTAAGCAGGTAAAACTTTCTCATAAGGTGAAGATTCAAAGAAAATTCTAAGCAGGTGAAACTTCCTGGATGGGGAGTGAGAATCATGTCCATAGGGAACAAGTTTCACAAAGGTTCCATTTGCCTCCTGTCATTTCAGTGGGTCCTCACTTACCTGTTGGCCATGTGGTTTCTGTGTGGATATGGGTTATTAGTATTAACACTATAGGAGCTTGGCTCTTGAGTCTTGTAGTCTTGGATGGTCAGGGACCACTTGACCAACATCTTTGCCTGTATAGAGCTGGCCACCACAGAGGCTGGAGGAGAAGGTAGAGTTGTAGGGACTACCACAAGTCTGATTCTGCTGAAGCTCTGGGATTCTACTCTCCTATGCCTCAACCCTGGGCTGGCGGGGTGCCTCTGCCTTCAAAGAATACATGTTTTTATGGGGGAATTGGACATAGATACAAGCAGTCAAAATGTTATTCATTGCGTGTTGTGGCAGAACTGTGCATGGTATGCTATGGGAACAGACCAAGAGGAAGCATAACTGTGCTGGGGATCAAAGTTGGAAGTCATGGATTGGTTTTTTCCAAGTGATTTTTGAGGAGTGAACCTTAATAATAATCGTTATCATTTGTTGTTTGCCAGGCCCTGTTCAGTTTGTTTTCTGCTTTAAGTCCTTGTGGTAATAGTATTAGTTAGGTGTCACTATCCTTATCTTACAGATGAGGAAAGTGAGGCACATAAAAGTTAAATTACTTGCCCTAGGTGCCAGTGCCAGTAAGTAGAGGAAGATTTCAAACTCTAGCATTCAGGCTCCAGAATCCACACTCTTCACCCCTACATTGATGGTGAAGAAGTTAACAAATGAAAATCTTAACAAGAAGATAGCGCATGTGAAAGCATATGTTAAATCTAACATGTTGAGTGAATGACCTCTAGTTATGTGGTATAGTTTAATATGGGGTTGGGGGAACACAGGGCTGTTAGCCAGAAAAGGTGGTAGGTAAGTTTACATGGTCAGAGCAGAATTTTTAGGGATCTTTGAGTTTTGGGACTATAGAAGGTGAGAGGCTGTGGCCAGTGATGTCTGTGATGTGGCTGTTTTGGTAGTTCCAGGCAGAGATGACAAGATTGTGAAGTGAGGTGTCCCTGGGGTGGTGAGGATGATGGGTACTTGAATAGACATTAAGTAAACAGACTAGTCAGGACATGCTGAATAATAGAATCAAGAAAGGAGTGATTATTTAAAACACACACACACACACACACACAACAAAAGCTGTTAAATGTTTAACAGGGAAATGGAGAAAAGGGGATGGACCCTTTTCTTTAAAGAATTGATAGAATATGGGGAAAGCTACAGAGAGGAAAGAGGGGCAAGAATTGGAGTTCTTTTCAGAGTTTTTAATCTAGGTTACAAAGAACGAATTTTGAAAAAGAATGAAAAGCTTGTTTTAAGTGGAAAAGAATGAGAATCTTAAGATTTTGTTGGACTTCTAAGATACTACAGTCTTTTAAGCACATGAAAGTACAGGACTTGAATAAAATCAGCTCTGAAGGTCTACGTATCATTACAGCTAATAATGGACGTTTACAGAGTGAATCTTAGGAGAGACTAGGACGGGTGCTCTTTAGAGAATCAGGCAAGAAGGAGAGGAAAACTTCAACTTCGAATTTCTTCCAGAGGAATGCGGCATGTTATTTGGCACCTAGGAGACAGAATGTTTCTGGAGGCAGGAGGTTCGGAACTGAGGAAAGAATTAGGCTTAATTAAGCACAGTGACTTTGCTGAACAGATACAGTCTTGTTGTTGTTGTTAGGAGATGTTATTTGGTGGCTTTTTCAAATCATTTAGCTGGATTTGTTTTGGTTTTGTTTTAAATTTTCCTCTGAAGGTGGTAATCTATATTGTGCCATGTAGTGGTAGGTTATGTTTTGTCTTAATGCTATATCTGAATACCCTGGGGACTATAAATTAACTTGAAAATAGCAGTAATATGTAATTCTTAGTTTTCTATATAGTGCTGGCTGATTTTTTTTTTAAGATTTTATTTATTTATTTGAGAGAGAGAGAGAGCACGAGTTGGGGTGAGGGGGGAGAGGGAGAAGCAGGCTCCCCGCTGAGTAGGGAGCCCGATATGGGGCTTGATCCCAAGACCCCGAGATCATGACCTAAGCTGGAGGCAGACACTTAAATGACTGAGCCACCCAGGCGCCCCAGTTGCTGGCTGATTGTTGTCTAAAACATGGATTTTCTCCAACTTTAAAGGGGAAAAAACGGCAAAATAAACAACTCCACCCAAGATTAAGTGACTTGTGCTGTGTGTTTTCTTAGCTCTTCAGGAAGCTGCAGCAAGGTTTGAGGAGTTAAAGGCCCAAAAAGAGCTAAGACAGCTGCAGGAAGACCGAAAGAATGACAAGAAGCCGCCACCTTACAAACATATAAAGGTGAGAAAAAAACGCAGGAGACTATCTCCAGGAGAGACCCTGTTATAGAGTACTGTTTTCCTGCTGTGTTCATGAAGAGGTTTGGAAGCAGAAGCAGAGTTGCTTTTGGGTAGAGGTGTGAACTTGAAGGAAGATAAGAAAAAGTTCCAGAGCACCATTCCTAGCACATTGTCTACAGCTTCTATAAAGTCAGTTGTGTGTTGATAACTGTTTCTGTTGCCTTGGAAAGTCTTCTTATAGAAGTGGAGTGGATTAGAGTCTGTGCACAGGCAACATCTTGCAGTTTGAAGGGGACTCAAGCATGATAAAAAATGATAAATAGCCCTTAGATAGTATGAATAATACACATGGTAAGTCTTCTTGGTAATGGCTGATACTAAAGATATTTTAGGTAACCAGTATGATTAGGTTTCCCAAGGTCAGGAGAATTCATGTTATGTGTACCTAACCCCTAATGTGCCTAGTAAAAGAGTCTTCACCATTTATCATCTGGGTGCAATGGACCCTTTGTATTTTTCAATGTTTTAAATCATTTTTATGAATAATTTATAGAAGTAAAAATACAGGAATAATGAAGAACAAATTTTTTTAGACATTTTAGTAAGTATTTATTAAAACCTCTCTTTAAAAACCCAATTTTTATTGTTAATTGCAATGTTCAAACATCAGAAAACATGAAAGAATACTATTAGCTCTATTAACAGAATGAGACTGCCCAGGTTCTTGTTGTAAAATATTTGTGGTGATGTCATGCCTGAATAAGAATACCATATTTCTTTTTTGTCAATAGAAATTCATTGTTAGTATAGCCATTGATATTTGAGTTTCTGAAGTCTTGGAGTCTGAGGTTTCATGTAGAGATCAATTTCATCACTATGTTTAGAGTCTAATGTGGTCAAGTATATCCCAAGTATTCCATGGGACATACTGAAACTAAAAAAACTATTTAAAAAAAAAATCTGAAATTCAGATTTAATCAGGTGTCCTGGATTTTTAAAGCAACCCTACTAAAAGCAGACTACAAAGATGTTATCTCTAACCTTTCATACTTTCTGGAAAGATGATTTAATACTTTGGGCAATGCAACAGAGAAACTAAAGTGTCACTATTTCGCTGTTACATGCATAAGGTTTTGTAATTCCATCATTTTTCTGTTTTGTTAGTTTAGTCTCTTTTGGTAAAGGTGGGAATGACTGATGAGTAACTATGAATAACGGTGAAACAGTAAAATGTTATGAGATACAGGAAATTAAGAACACTAAAATTCCATAATATAGCTTAGATTTTTTAAGGTTTTTTTTTTTTTTTTAAGATTTTATTTATTTATTCATGAGAGAGAGAGAGAGAGAGGCGGAGGGAGAAGCAGGCTCCCAAGATTCAGGGAGCCTGATGCGGGACTCGATCCCAGGACCCTGGGATCATGACCCGAGCCGAAGGCAGACGCTTAACCATCTGAGCCACCCAGGCGCCCTTTTTAAGGGGTTTTAATGGATGTACATAGTAGTTGCAGGATAGAATGAGGGTTTTTTTTTCTTCTTCTTTTTTTTAAGTGAATTTTTTTTTTGATCTTTAGAAGACCTCTAAGAAAATAAAATTCATAAAATATCAATCCTTACAAATAAAACTGCTGAAGAAAATACACTCAAAACCTAAAATTGGGTCTAAATGGACGCTGGTGGTGGTGTACTGAGAGTTAAATGGAGTTATTGTGCGTGGAGTTCTAAGTGTAGTTAGGCCTCAAAAGGGGGAAAAGAATCTGGTTCCCACAGTCTTAGGTGTCAGACAACAGCAAGGGAGGCATTTCAGAGTTGTACATCAAGCATAATGAGCTCTTGAGAGAGCAGCTTCCTGGGAGTGATCTAAATCAGAGAATTTAGAAGCCAACTTCTTTCCTCCATACCCCCTCCCCACCTTTTTAAAAACAAATACATTTCCAGGAAAAATGTTAGAACAAGGGTTGGCAAACTATAGTCCATGGGCCAAATCTGGCCTACTATGGTTGGGAAAAAAAATGAGAAGAATAATTCTAGGGACATGAAGATTACATGAAATTCAAATATCAGTGCCCATAAATGATGTTTTGACACTCATCCACGCTTATGTAGAAATTGTCTTTTGCTGCTTTTATGCCACAGTGACAGAATTGAGCTACATCTGTAGCCTGTAGAGCCCAAAGTATTTACTGTCTAGCCTTTTACAGGAGAGGTTTGTTAATCCCTGATATAGAGTGAGCATTAAACTGTACTTATGTATCTATATTGTTCTTAATCATGTGGGGGTATTTTTGTTAGTTTGTTTTTGCTTGTATGTTATGTTAGGCAAGAAACTTACTTGGGATTAATAACAAGTTAGATCGGATGTTAAGAAAGAATGGTTGAAACATATCTTTATAGAGAGAAAAGGAGTAGGGTGAAACTTTTATGGGAGGGAGGTCAGGTAAACATACCTTGAAACAGACAGGTATGTTCTGATGCCCTATGTGTAGGACCTGCGATCGGAGGTGAGTGAGTCAGTCCTTACCTTCTGTCCCCTTAGAGTTTGCTTTCCTCAGGGTTGTGACTTCCATTTACATGTGGTAGTAGTATTCCTCCATTAACAAAAAGTTTACAGGTTTGTTTTGTTTTGTTTTTTAAGATTTTATTTATTTATTATGAGGAGAGACAGAGCACACAAGCAGGGGAAGCAACAGAAGCAGTTTCCCCGCTGCGCTGGGAGCCTGACAGGAGGCTTGATCCCAGGACTCTGGGTTCATGACCTGAGCCAAGCACAGACCCTTAACCATCTGAGCCACCCAGGTGCCCCAAGAAGTGTACAGCCTTTGCCAGTATTTTGAAGTATCTGGGAAGAGATCTGGCAGAGTTACATCCTTGTAAGGTGTTATCAAGAACTGGTTTGAGGACAGTTTATTTCTATAAACAGATTGGAGATTTTATAATATTGTTAAAGAAGAGGCAAAAACTAAAATGTTAGAAATGGAACCTTTTGGGAATTTATTTATTTATTTTAAAAGATTGTATTTATTTATTTGACAGAGAGAGACACAGTGAGAGAGGGAACACAAGCAGGGGGAGTGGGAGAGGGAGAAGCAGGTGATGCGGGGCTCAATCCTGGGACTCCGGGATTATGACCTGTGCCAAAGGCAGACACTTAATGACTGAGCCACCCAGGCGCCCCCCCCCCTTTGGGAATTTAGAGGATGGAAATAACTGTTTTGCTAATCATAGTGATTTCATTTTATTATATATATAATTTTTTTTTTTTTTAAAGTAGGCTCCACGCTGGGAGCCCAATGCAGGGCTCAAATTCACGACCCTGAGATCAAGAGCCGGATGCTTAACTGACTGAGCCACCCAGGTGTCCCAGTCATAGTGATTTTAGATTGAATGGATGTGATAATCTAGAATATTTGATGTGACAAATAATTAAAAGAACATTAAAAGAAAAAATAATCATAGTACCTACCATGTTTAAGAGGCTGATAGACTCTGTACTAGACTTTTTACATATATTTCTTAATCTCATAATAATCTTGCAAGTGAAGTGATTTATCAGAATCATAAAATTCCTGAAAAGCCAATTTTTATGTATGGGATGGGTTTTTGAAGACTCACAGTTTGGCTATTCCAAGTGAAATAATAACAGGTAGGGGGGAACTCATTCTTATGTGCACAAATCCATCTGTTATGGAATGTCTATTTTTTTCTCAGAAAATGCTCACGGCTTCAGTGTTACAGCAGCTGTTTGATCTCTGTTTTATTCACTGTAGTTTTTAGTACTAGCACCACTACTAAATAAATACATGAGTGACATTGCTGTAGTCTATTAAAAAGATTTCAAACTATGATAAATATTAAAATTATTTCTTCACATACAGAAGGAATCCCAGTTACCCAGAGACATTTTCATGCCAACCATTTACCACTTAAGAATTTTTTTTTATGAAGTTTTTTTTTTTTTTTAGGGGCGCCTGCATGGCTTAGTCATTAAGCGTCTGTCTTCGGCTCAGGTCATGATCCCAGGGTCCTGGGATCGAGCCCCACATCGGGCTCCCTGCTCAGCGGGAAGCCTGCTTCTCCCTCTCCCACTCCCCCTGCTTGTGTTCCCTCTCTCGCTGTGTCTCTATCAAATAAATAAAAAATCTTTATAAAACAAAAATGTAGCAGCTAATGTGGCGCCACCATGTGGTAATAGCAGAAACCCAGTTTATACTTAACTTGGCCTACCAGCTTTGAAATTATGATTTTCATAAAATGATTTTTTAAAAATTTTTGTGGGATCCCTAATGTGTATATTAAGTGAGGCTTTATGTCAGATTGCCTTAATCTTTTTTCCTCCAATTTTTTATTATAAAATGTAGATAATGTAAAATTTATTAGTTTAATCATTTTTATATAGTTCAGTGATATTAAATGCATTCATAATGTTTGCAACCATTACCACCATCCATCTCTAGAACTCTTTTCATCTGGTTAAACTGAAACTCTGTACCCATTAAACATTAACTCCCCATTCTCCCCTCCTTGTTGCTTGGCAACTACCATTATACTTTTTCCTCTATGATTTTCACTACTCTAAGTACCTTATATACATACAATATTTGTTTTTTTTTAATCACTGGCTTATTTCACATAACATAATATCTTCCAGGTTCATCCATATTGTAACGTGTCAGGATTTCCTTTCTTTTTAAGCTGAATAATATTCCATTATTTGTACCCCATTTAGCTGTTGTGAATAATGCCCTAAGTTCAAAATCATGTAAAATGTGGCATGCAACTTCAAAGAAAAGAAGTCTACCTTCTATAGGTCCTGAGTTGTCTTGTGTTGACTTGCCTGATGTTCTATAGTATGTGTTTCTTCTGCAGGTGAACCGTCCTATTGGCAGGGTACAGATCTTCACTGCAGATTTGTCCGAAATTCCCCGTTGCAACTGTAAAGCTACTGATGATAACCCCTGTGGGATAGACTCTGAGTGCATCAATCGCATGCTGCTCTATGAGTGCCACCCCACAGTATGTCCTGCCGGAGGACGCTGCCAAAACCAGTGCTTCACTAAGCGCCAGTATCCAGAGGTTGAAATTTTCCGAACATTACAGAGGGGCTGGGGTCTCAGGACAAAAACAGATATTAAAAAGGTGAAGAAAATTTTTCATAATTTCCAGATTTTTTTCTTCTTTGCAATTACTTAATATGAGTAATTATTCTTGATGAATATGAGAAAATGATCATTAGAGGAAAGACAACATAGTGTTAAGGATTAACCTTACTGTTGGGTCTTGCTGTGTCCTTCTAGAGTGTTTTTTTTTTCCTTCTAGAGATTAGGTGCTTGAGAATAGTCTCCTTTACCTCTAAAGTCCTTAGTATTGCTCATGTTCATGGTGTGTGAGGATGAAAAAATGAAGGAAATTCATAGAGATACTATGGCCTTACTTTCTCTTTTGTGACAATTCTGGAACTTGTAGTTAAGAGGAAGGGGATAGTATGTGATACAGAGGTGTTAATCACCTAATAAAATAAAAACTTTTTACTAAGGGAAAATCGGTTTTGGTTCATGGAAAATGAAGAAGAGGATTAGGCCTCTAATAAAAGTGCAGTAACATCTTCAACTTCAAACTTAGAAGGACCTGCAAGTTTCTTTTCTTTAATTTTATTTTATTGTGTTATGTTAGTCACCATACCATTACATCATTAGTTTTTGATGTAGTGTTCCATGATTCATTGTTTGCATATACGTGCCCTCCTTAATACCCATCACCGGGCTAACCCATCCCCCACCCCCCTCCCCTCTAAAACCCTCAGTTTGTTTCTCAGAGTCCATAGTCTCTCATGGACCTGCAAGTTTCTAATAGAGAATATTATATAGTCTTTGTGTAGAATCAATCTTATTTGACATTTTAATAAAATAAACCTTACTCTAGTTATGCTTTGTAAAGAATTTTATTGAAGTTTGTTTCTAGAAAAGGAAATGAATATTGGCTGGTCTGTTTCGTTATTTGCTAAGTAGCTATTATGTGTCTGCTGTGTGCCAGGCATTGTGCTGCAAATGCAGTGTTAAGTAAGAGAGGCATAGGCCGTGCTTTCATAAAGTTTACATTCTAAGGGGGCGAGACATTGATCAAGTAGTCACCCAGTGTGGAAGCACAGTGGGTTCTGGAGGCATATGGTAAATGGTAAGGGCCTGAAACTAGCTTTGACTCTGAGAATATTTTAAGTTGAGAATTGAAATATAAGTAGTTGTTGGCTTAGGCTAGGTGAGTGTTAAAGCATTGCTGTCAAATTGGACAGCATGAGGGAAAGCCAGTATGACTGTAGCAGAGTGAGTCAGGAGGACAGTATTATAAATGTGGAAGGGCAGCAGGCAGGGTATATTCCAAGGAAAAGGAACATAGTTTATGGAAATTGACTTTCAGGTTTTGGGGCAGTTCAAGGGATTTATATTATCTCATCATTTGAGATGAGAGAGTGTTTGTATCATATAAGACTATAATATTACTAAATTATATACATGTAAAATTATTTTTTCAACCCCTTGACTATTTTAATGGAGCCCTAGTTTACTTACTTCCATGTTGGTTGATCTTTAATGTCCATTCCCAGTCTTTCTCCTGGTGACAGTGATAGGAGTGAGGAGGTGTTTTTCATTGTCAAATAGTTGAAGCATCATATTTATGTTTCTTGAATAAACCTTTGTTAAATTGATTAGGTACATGTACATGAACTGCTTTGGAGATTGTTATTTTCATTAATTTTTTTTAAAAATAAGGTGTACCTGGGAATACAGTTGTGCTTTTTGCCATTAAGAACTATTTCTTGTTCTAGGGTGAATTTGTGAATGAGTATGTGGGTGAGCTAATAGATGAAGAAGAGTGCAGAGCTCGAATCCGTTATGCCCAAGAACATGATATCACTAATTTCTATATGCTTACTCTAGACAAAGTAAGTGTTATTTCCATTGTTATAACATTGTGAAATTGATATTGTCCCAGCCATAGTGTTTGTAGGCATGTAATTCACTGCCCAAAACAGCGTCTTTCCCTTATATTTGTAGGGTTTGCTTTGTCGAGGTTCTGGAGTAGCTAAATTTGCTCATTTCTGGCCACACGTCCCTTGCCAGAGTCAGCAGAGCTACTGTTTGCATTCTTTTTGAACTGTCCTATACAAGTTGGGTATTACGTCTTTTAGTATTTTTCCTATTAGATTAAAACCTGAAGCCATCCAAGTAAATAATCATTCTTTCATCCTTTTATTTTACAGATTCAGAAACTGATTTGTTAATATTTAGTTCATTGACAAGGTCATATAAATTGTAGAACTCCGCTTCTGAACCCAAGTCATCTTTCCAATCATAGGAATTTGCTGATGAGTTTAATTTCATTGGTGCCTAGAATTATATTTGGGACTCATTCCTAATTCCAGCATTCTAATATGTTTATTTTCTGTGTATTTGACATTCTTCCTTGTACCTGAATACTAAGGTCTGCTAGCAATCCCCGACCCCTTCCATTGGCTATTATAACAATTCTTTCCTGGTGTGAAACTTCATGAACATTTATTGAGTTGAACCCTTTGGTTTGTGAGATCATCACCTCCAGATATTCAGATCTTCATTTGGGATGGGGTCTCAACATCAGTATTAAAAACTCCTTAGCTGATTTCTAATGTGTAGCCCCAGGGTTCAGGACCACCAAATTGAGAGGATGGGGCAAGCTGCTGCTTCTAGGGCAGTGGTCCTCAAACTTCAGCATAAATCAAAATTACCTACTGGGCTTGTTATAACACGGATTGCTGGGCCCTCCCTCAGAGTTTCTGCTTTTAGTATATCTGAAGTGCAGCCCAAGAATTTGTATTTCCAACAAATAATTGATATGGTGCTAGTGATAGATTAGTGACTACACTTTGAGAACCACTCCTGGGAGAATCAAATTATACAAATAGGAACTCTAGCTTGTTAGAATATATAGGAAGTATCTAATGAGCATCATCTCTTGGAATTCTAGGACCGGATCATTGACGCTGGTCCCAAAGGAAACTATGCTCGGTTCATGAATCATTGCTGCCAGCCCAACTGTGAAACACAGAAATGGTCTGTGAATGGAGATACCCGTGTTGGCCTTTTTGCCCTGAGTGACATTAAAGCAGGTAAGAATCAGTTAAGGATTCTGGAGCTAAGAAAGGAATTTCAGGTTTTATCATCTAAACATCCCATATGTCCTGTAATCCAAAATGAGGTCTGCAAACTCTTGGGAATACAGAAAAGACTTTCCAGGTGGTACTTGGCATGGAATATTTTTGGTGGTGATGGTGGTATGGCAAAATATACATAACATAAAGTTTATCATTTAACCATTTTTTAATTGTACAGTTTTGTGGCAGTAGGTCCATTCACCTTGTTGTTCAGCTATCACCTCCATCCATCTCTTTAACCCTTTCATCTTCCCCAAGTGAAGCTCTGTATCCATTAAATGCTAATTCCCCATTTTCTCTCCCCTCAGCCCCTGGCACCACTGCCAGACACTACTCCAAGCATATTCTCATATTTACTCCTTGTAAAAATGTTGTGAAGTATATGGTATTATATACCTGTGTTACTTGGATTCTTGGGTCTGGCACCTCTAACCACCCTGGGGTCGTGTCCTGTGTATTAATTACTCAAATATTATCCAGGCCCATAACTTCAGTCCTTCTATCTCTTCTCGCTGCTTTCAGTACATCTGTACTTGTAACTTAAGTCTTTGTCCATGGTGATAGATTTCTCTACCATTTCTAGCCACAAATTTTTCTTCTCTCTTTTCCCATATTCACTTAGCTCAAGTAGCATGGTATGGGAATTCACAGACCTTGTTCTTGTTCTCACTTGATTTCCAGTCTGCATGGGTGGAATGAGAGGAACAAGACAGAAAGCTCAGTGCTATGCAGAGTTCCTATGGAACTCCAACTTGACAGATGGAATCAGAACTTTTCAGCTTGCTCTCTTTACTCATTCAGCTTCATGTAGTCTTCAATACCTGTTATACTTTCTACCAAATGTGTCATACTCCTTGTTTTTCTTTTCTCCAATGCCTTTCATCCCCATAAGTGCAGACCTCAAGGATTGTTGTATATTGGGCTCTTTTTTAGAATGGTATGAATCTTTCCTTTATGCACACCACTGCCTTCTGATTTATCCCTTGTGCGGTTATGTTTACATAGTGGATGGTGAGTAAGCAGTAGGTTATGTCAACTATCCTGCTATCTTATATTTGTGTATATGGTTGAGTTGTATTATTTGCACATTAAATTAATGAAAATTCAGTTATATACTCATAAATTGTTTGATAAGGAATAAAGTGAGTAGAATTATCTATCCTTCAGTGCAGTATTTTGCCATAAATGTGAGAGGGGAGACAGAACCCTGCTCTTATCTTGGTCAGTCTTGGTTCCTGCAAGTTCCTTGCAGTGTGAACTTCTCACCAGGCCATGAGTGATTCTAGTTTTTGTACCTTTTGGACCCCTAAATGTAAGGTAGCTGATTTATAATTTGCTTAGCTGAATAAACAAATAATGATCTATATTAATCCAATATTAGATGAAAAACTATATATATCAGTTAATCTCATTGATGGAAGATAGGTCAGTCTGCAGTAGGAAATCTTACAAGATTTGGTCATCTTGACCAAATGATTATCACTTTACACGTTAATGGTGAACCATTACCCCAACCCAGAGTTAATCTCTTTTTATATATATATAAAATTCTTGTATTTGTTAGGCCTTCCCTAATGTGCTTTGAATTTGAATGGTTGTGTGTTTTATTTCCTCTCTTAGTTTTGATAAGATGCACTTTTGACAGAAAGGGGACAATTTGTACTTTAAATCTGTACATCTCTTTTTTAAAGTTTACAAATTACTGCTGTGTGCATTATGTCCGATTCTCTAAATAAGCTTGTGCAGTTGTTGTTTCTCCATTTAATAAATGTACTCAGGGCTCAAATCACCCAGCTAGACTGTGGTAACAGGGATATAAAGCCAGGGCCCAAGTTTGTGGTATAGAGTTCTCTAGTATTACTCTGTATTGAGTTGTCTCTCCCTTAAGTTCTGCTAGATTTGGCACAGATCAACAGGTTTTCTTCATACTTGCATTCCCAGTGCCTAGCACATCAGTGTGTACAGGTGAGTTGTTGTTTGTTTTTGGTAATGAATTAATATATTTTGAATCTGATTAGGAAACACAAAACAACTTGGGATAATTAACATCTCTACAGTAAAGGTTATTTTAAATATTACTTGTTAACCTGTATAAGTTTTTCTGTTACTAAGTTGTATTTGCTGATTAATAATATTATAGGATTCGAATGTATTAGTATTTCATTAATATAGTGGGATTAGAGTTAATAAATCCCTTCTATCCTCTGAAAAATCTGTTCTCTTGCAAGTCCGTATCCTTTGTGATTAATACAGAAGTAATGTAATTAAAACCATAGATATTAATATTTTCATGGTCTTTTATGCAGGCACTGAACTTACCTTCAACTACAACCTAGAATGTCTTGGGAATGGAAAGACTGTTTGCAAATGTGGAGCCCCAAACTGCAGTGGCTTTTTGGGTGTAAGGCCAAAGGTACCTTCCAAATGTTTCCATCGGGAATAATGGTGTGGTCCTCCCTCCCTAACCAGTGGCATAGCTGACTTTTTAAGATGTCTCTTTGGAATAATGACATTGGATAGTTGTCGGTAGGGCTACTGGCACTTAACTAAGCATTGTGATGGTCAGTTTGGTTATTCAAGAGCAGATCTATGGGTGTTGTTGAATTTCTTTTGAGCAGTCTGACTTCTAATTGGTGATACTTTTCTAGCTAAAAAAGCTGTAAGATAGGAATCCATAAAGTAGGTTACTTCCCATGTCTTTATTGGTCTCAGCTCATCTCACTCACATTTCCTGATAAGCTTCTTAGATTCTTGGTATCTGTGTCTCCCTCTCTTCTCTCTCTGTCTTTTTAAAGATCTCAAAGAATCCAATATTGAATTTAAGATTCTAAGTGTAGTATAACACTTGTAGATAAACATAGGACCCTTAATATTATCTTAAAGTATAAGCATTGTTGTATCTTACTCTCTGGGTTTTTATGTGCATTTTAACTGGCTTATAATTCTGTAAAGAATTACTTACAAGTCTGTATCCTGCATTTCTTAAATATTATAAAATCTTTTTCCTTGCTGTCACATAGTCTTTTTAACCATCGTCTCTCTAGTGACTTAATTTTTTAATACAATGGATGGACCATAATAGATGAACATGCATCCAGAGTTTTCTATCCTAAGTTACAGCACACTAAAAATTGAAGTTTAATTTTGATGAAAAATACAGTGACTCCATTTGGGTATTTCCTATTACGCTTTTTTGATTTGGAAGTCAGTGTTAAGAACTGAAAAATGCAAATTAGCACAGAAACCAATAACTAAAGAAAGGGGGCGTGATCTTTTTTATTTTTTTTCTTAAAGATTTTATTTATTTATTTGACAGAGAGGGAGAGGGCATAAGCAGGGAGAGTGGCAGGCACAGGGAGAGGAGAGAAGCAGGCTCCCCATGGAGCCGGGAGCCCGATGTGGGGCTCGATCCCAGGACCCCGGGTCGTGACCTGAGCCAAAGGCAGTTGCTTAACTGACTGAGCCACTCAAGCACCCCAGGAGTAATCATTTTGTGCAAAAACACACAGAGATGTTGAACACCCCCAATTATTCTTTTATTAAATGAGGAAAATTATGTTTATATTTTGTTGAGTTTTTTTTCTTTAGTCATTTGGTTAAATGGTCTTGTTCCTTAAGGTGTCCAGTTTATTACCTATAAATCAAAATAGTAACTGAGTTTAACCTAAGTTTAATGGTGTTACATTCACTGGGGATGTCAGTTTTTGCATCCTTAACATCTAGGTAGTATTTCACACATGGATCAGTGAAAGAGAAATTTGAGGGCAGAAGTTTAGAAATGGGAGATCACTGAGGGATAATAATAATCAGATTGGTCCTGGATGTTTCTAGTCCAAGATAAATGATGTGATGAAACGCATGGGGTTTGGTAACCAAGTGTGGGCTGCAGGGATCATGGAGGAGACCTGCTTGGCTGCACCAGGATCTGTCTTGGGGAATAGTGGATATGAACCTAATTTGATATAGATAAAGGGCACATAGCTTATTGAGGGCAAGGACCATGAATTAGTTTTCTGTGCCTTCCTAGCATGTGACTCTTAAGTGTCCAGTGAAGGTTTATTGAATAAAGAAGTGTGTGTGCACACACAAACATACACCCCTAGACAAACACAAAAATAAAACGTAATGAAAGGGTAATGTTACCTTTAACGCTAGCCTTGTGTGTTAACAAAAATAAGTTTATTTTTCTTTTATTTCATTCAGGTGGCAGGAGTAGTTGATAGAAAAGTTAGAATTAATGCAACCATTTATTGGGTACCTATGATGTGCGAGGTGCCTTTCCTGCATTTTTTCTTATCTTTACAATAGTCTATGAGGACTGTCTCTTCCCAGAGGAGAGACTGAGGCTCAGAGAGGATAGTTAATCTGGTCAAGATCACACAACTAATATATCAACAGAATGCTTACTGCTCAATATCTGACCTCTAGAATCAACCCATTGCCACAGAAGAAAAGTCAAAGAAATTCAAGAAGAAGCAACAGGGGAAGCGCAGGACCCAGGGTGAAATCACAAAGGAGAGAGAGGATGAATGTTTCAGCTGTGGGGATGCTGGCCAGCTCGTCTCCTGTAAGAAGCCAGGCTGCCCAAAAGTTTACCACGCTGACTGTCTAAATCTAACCAAGCGACCAGCAGGTTGGTGTCAAAATCCATGTAGAGTGCTCTTTGTTCTCTCCCAGAATTGTCAGAGCCCTTGGTCTTCCCATGCATAATGTTGAAGGGGGTATGGTTCATGTTCTCATTCTGGAAATAAAGGCTTTGGAATCCTAGGTTATAGAGAAGGGAACAGAAACTTACTCATTATATGTCAAGCACTTTATTTACATTTATGTTATGTTATTTTATCCTCCCAGCAACCCATAAAGATGAGACCTTTTCACCTTCCCATGATGCAGATGAGGAAACTGAGAGTCCAGTTTGGTGAGATGACTTGTCACAATAGAGCATGTAGATGGAGAAGTTGGATTGAAAGCCAGGTTTTCTGACTTCAAGGCCACTAAATCATGTTTCCTTTCTAAAGAAAGAGAGGTTGAGACAGTATGGAGTTTGGGGTTATTCCGGTCAGTGAGGTGTGGACTAGATACCCTGGAGTAGACACCCTTGAGCTCCCTTCACTCACTCCCTTACGAAGGAGATTTAGCTCCATCTGCTGACACATGAGAGAGCTGCTTGGGCAGATAGAGTGTCAGGAATTTGTGGCTGGAGAAGGTGCTTTTTTTTTTTTTTTTTTAAGATTTTATTTATTCAAGAGAGAAAGAGAGTGAGAGAGCATGAGAGGGGGAGGGTCAAAAGGAGAAGCAGACTCCCTGCTGAGCAGGGAGCCCGATGCAGGACTCGATCCTGGGACTCCAGGATCATGACCTGAGCCGAAGGCAGTTGTTTAACCAACTGAGCCACCCAGGCGCCCAAGCTGCTAACTTTTGAGTGGGATTTGGAGTTAGAAGAGTTTGGGGGGACTTGGATAGGTGGTCTGTTTTGTTGACAGAGGCAAGAGAGCAGTAGGGAGCCACTTCAGCTGAGGAGATTAATCATCACCAGTGGCCTGCTCTCAGGAATTGCAGAGAGAAAAGTTTGGGGTGGGAATGAGAGGAGTTTGTCCCTGAACTAGCTTTCCTTCAATGTATGGTTGCCAGAGAAATAAAATAATAGAAACGGAGGTAGTGTGAGGGCAAGGCCACAGCATGACTTGTCAGTGCCAGGAAGTGGAGAAGGAGAATTGTTTCAGAATCAATAGCTCAGGATTGTAGCTGGCACAGGCTGCAATGGAACTCGTCTTGACTAGGAGCCAGGAGTCAGGACTAGCATAGTTTATTTGGAAACTATGAGCCAGGGCGAAAACACCATCCATGGCAGAGACTCTCAGGTGTCATGAAATGGGAGCAAATAGACCGTAGGTCAGGGTCTTTTCCACTGGTTCTGTGTGGACTGTACAGGTAAAATTTGTGCTAGTTGCAAGATTTGAAACTGAGCAAAAGAAAATCTCAATTTTTCACATTTGTATATCTGCTCCCTGTTCCTAAATATAACCAAATAAGCAGAAGTTTAAATAGCCGAGATTATCCCTTTAGAGTTGAATATTGAAAGGCTATATTAGACAAATGGAGTTTGCAAAACTGTGGAAGTAGTATCTTCACATTCTATCTAAGGGGAGCTTTGGGTTTTTTCCCCCTTGCTAGAAATAGTCCTAGAAATAAGAAATTACTCCTGCCTGTATATTTAGTTGATACGCAGTTGCTGCTTGTACTTGGCTTTTATTTTTATGTGTTGTAGAGGATACTCAGATTCTGGGGCAGGGGAGGTGTCAGGTGAGTGGCATGAGCTCTCTGCAGAAGGTGGCAGTTTGAAATCACTCCTTTGACCCAGGCTCAGGGCCATGACTCATTTCATGCACCTTGCTTGTTTTCCTAAGCGTGTGTTTCATATCTGTGTTTTTAGGGAAATGGGAGTGTCCTTGGCATCAGTGTGACATCTGTGGGAAGGAAGCAGCCTCCTTCTGTGAGATGTGTCCCAGCTCCTTTTGTAAGCAGCATCGGGAAGGGATGCTCTTCATCTCCAAATTGGATGGGCGTTTGTCTTGTACTGAGCATGACCCCTGTGGGCCCAACCCTCTGGAACCTGGGGAGATCCGTGAGTATGTGCCTCCACCAGTACCGCTGCCTCCAGGCCCAGGCACTCACCTGGCAGAGCATTCATCAGGAGTGGCTGCTCAGGGGCCCAAAATGTTGGATAAGCTGCCTGCTGACACCAACCAGACACTGTCACTGTCCAAAAAAGCTCTGGCAGGGACTTGTCAGAGGCCACCGCTTCCTGAAAGACCTTCTGACAGAACTGACTCCAGGCCCCAGCCTGTAGATAGGGTCAGGGACCTTGCTGGGTCGGGGACCAAACCCCAATCCTTGGTATCCAGCCAGAAGCCATTGGACAGGCCACCTGCAGTGGCAGGACCAAGACCCCAACTATCTGACAAACCCTCTTCAGTGACTGGCATAAGCTCCTCACCCTCAGTCAGGTCCCAACCACTGGAAAGACCTCTGGGGACAGCTGACCCAAGGCTGGATAAATCCATAGGTGCTGCCAGCCCAAGGCCCCAGTCACTGGAGAAAACCCCAGTCCCTTCTGGCCTGAGACTTCCACCGCCAGACAGACTGCTAGTCACCAGCAGTCCCAAACCCCAGACTTCAGACAGGCCCCCAGACAAATCCCATGCTTCTTTGTCCCAGAGACTCCCACCTCCTGAAAAAGTACTATCAGCTGTGGTCCAGACCCTGGTAGCTAAAGAAAAAGCACTGAGGCCCGTGGACCAGAATACTCAATCAAAAAATAGAGCTGCTTTGGTGATGGATCTCATAGACCTAACTCCTCACCAGAAAGAACGGGCTGTTTCACCTCATGAGGTCACACCACAGGTTGATGAGAAGATGCCAGTGTTGGAGTCAAGCTCGTGGACTGCCAGCAAAGGTCTGGGGCAGATGCCGCGAGCCGTAGAGAGAGGCAGTGTGTCAGATCCTGTCCTTCAGCCACCGGGTAAAGCAGCAGTCCCTTCGGAGCACTCCTGGCAAGCAGTTAAATCACTCACCCAGGCCAGACTTCTCTCTCAGCCCCCTGCCAAGGCTTTTTTATATGAGCCAACAACTCAGGCCTCAGGAAGAGCACCTGCAGGGCTGGAGCAGACACCAGGGCTTCCCAGCCAAGCACCAGGCCTGGTGAAGCAGGTGAAGCAGATGGCCGGAGGCCAGCAACTACCTGGACTTGCTGCCAAGAGTGGGCAGTCCTTCAGGCCTCTTGGGAAGGCCCCATCCTCCCTCTGTACTGAAGAGAAGAAGTTGGCAACTGCAGAGCAGAGTCCCTGGGCCCTGGGAAAGGCTGCACCAGGGCCAGGGCTCTGGCCCATGGTGGCTGGACAGACAATATCGCCATCTTGCTGGTCCTCTGGGAGCACACAGACATTGGCACAGACTTGCTGGTCTCTTGGAAGAGGGCAAGACCCTAAACCAGAGCAAAATACACTTCCAGCTCTTAACCAGGCTCCTTCCAGTCACAAGTGTGCAGAGTCAGAACAGAAGTAATATGAGTAAATGTCACATGACCAGACCAGCTGCCCCCAGGGTTCTTGGGGAAGGGAAATCATCTTTCTTTTCCCCTCTTAAAAAACAGACCCCACCACTTTTCCACTGTTACTCTTTCCTTATATCCCAACACTCAGAACTCTTGTGACATTAGCCAGTGGGGGCATGTGGTTGTGTAAACCATGTATGGAAATCCAAGTGGGCCCCAGCCAAGGAGACAGACAGACTTGGGTCTTTTTCCTCCAACCTTTACACATGGTAACTTGAAATAAAAAGTCCACTCTGGAGTCAAGCATGGGATTCAATTCCACTGATCAGGTTGGAAGGTAGAGGGGCTCTCGAAGTTATTTCTCTAGCCCTACAGAGCCCCACTGAGGGCATCTGATGAACACTTGGGAAGAACTGATATCAGTGGTGGTTTCTTGAGCATTCATATGTGCTAGGCCAGGTGCTAGTCACTGACAGGAGATACAGAGATAAGACCTGATCCCTGTGAGCCTAACATGCCTGCCTGGGTTCTCAGGCTGTTTTCATGAACCTTTGACCAGGAAATAACAGGAAGTTGAGGGGCCCTGGGGCTCCAGACTCATTTTGTAATGTCCTTTATGGCCCCAGAAGTGGTTGTGTTGAGTAAGTGTCCCCTGGTTGGGTGTGCGTGTGATGCACGCATGCTCATGTGGAGGTCTCTGTTGGTGGGGTTGGGGGGGTGGGGGGGTTGCATCAAGGCCAAGTGGAGCCGTTGGCTGGGCAGCCGCTACTGCTTCTGTCTGGGCTGTGCAGAGTCTGAAAATCTGTCCTTGGCAGAGCAGCTGGTTGTGGGGGCTGGGCTCTACAAGGACATAGCTTTCCCGAAGTATAAGAAGGCAATTGGCAAGCTTACCTTTCTTTTCTACCAGTTTTCCACCTTTTACATCAGCCCACCCCATGCCCACCCCCCAAACACTCAGGTGCTTTCAGATTTCAGAGTCGGGCAGTGGACATAGGGAATCTCTGGCAAGCTCTGGGCTAGATCTACCACCAGCTCAGGGAGAGTGCCAGATTCTGATGGAAAATTCCTTCTCTTTTGATCCTTTGCCCTCTTACCTGAATGGAGGGAGTCCTCTCCTTCACTGGTGGATTCTACCACCCTATCCCTGAGAATTGCTGTGTTCTGTACTGAGAGCACCTGCCTGCTGACTTTGTTCAAAGGCAGGCCAGAGCCCTTCCCCTGTGACTGGCAAGATGTGGTGTTTAGAGCAATGTCCAGTCTGAGAGATGATTCCTCATAACTGCTGATTATCTGTTACTGCTGCCCTGAGCTGGGGCCCAAGGGCTGGGAAATCTGTTGGTGCTACCCTGCCCTACCATTCACCCAGCTCACCAACTGCCAACAGGAAGTGCTGTTTGGCCAGTTCCTTCCCATTCACTCACCCCTCCTTTGTCCCTAGACCAAACGTGTTTACCTCTCTGCTTTGCCAACTTAGCCAGCAGCTTTAGCCAACAGGCCATCTCCTGGCCCAGATGTCTCCTGGCCATTCTGTTTCAGTTATGGCTTTTACACCCTCAACAAGATTCTGTATTTTGTCCCAATTTCCTCCTCCTGAGTTCCTACTGAGGTTATCCACATCACTTCTAAGGAGGGAACAATAGTTATAGAAGCATTTGCGCTTTATATAAAGATTAAAAGAAGAATTTGCTTTTATTTCCCAAAGTCTGTCTCGGGTTGAGACACTTGAACTCAGGCAGAGGTACGAGGCTGGGCAGGGCTGTCCCGAGTCTAGGGGCCTATCTCTGCATCCCACTTAGACCTCGAAATCTCCTCTGTAAATTCCACCTGCCTAGTTCTCCCCTCTTCATCCTATCTCTCTTCCCACATCATGAGAGAGGAAAAGCTCTTTGTTCAAAAGGAAAAAACAAAGCATCTTATTTTCTTTTTTAAAAAATTTTAAACCATGGAAAAGATATTTTTAAAGAAATCCACCCAGAACATTAAAGTTCATTATATTAAGTATTTATCATGTGTGAGAATAATAAGTATATAACTGCAGCTAGTAGGTCCCTTTCCCTAATCTCTTAGGCTGTATGAGTAGGGTTTGCTTGGTGCCAGTCCTGTGCCCTTTTCTCTCCTGTCATCTGTAGTTGTGATCAGAAAAAGATATTCGCACTGCACTGTCAGAATCTCCTTTCACTATGTTGTGTGTTAAATTACCGTAGCTCTTTGTTTCATGAAATAAACTGTGAATTTGGGGGGGGGTGTGCAGGCTATGTAAAAAAATTTAAGTGGAGAAGTTTGATCCTGAAATAGCTTCTCTGAAGTAGGCTTTGGTAGGTAATTGACTTGACAGCCGCTCTGGATATGTCTCACAGGACAAGGAGTGAGGGAAAGGTGGGCCATGAGTGGTTTTGTTTTGGTTCTTTCCATTCTACACCATTTACTGGAAACGTCCTTCCAGACCTGCCTGGGAAAACAACTTTGGAGCTGTGCTTAGTTTGGGGGAGAGGGTGGGGGGTGGTGGCAGTTCTTTATCTAGATGGACATCCAGGCTTTTGTGAGGGTTACTGAAAGACTCTCAGGTAGAATGGAAACTAGAAATTCAGCTGTCAGGCCCACTGATAGCATCTGATACCAGATTGTTAATATCAAGAAAGCATTACCATACAATTAGAAGCAGAGTTAGAAGGACTACTGGGAAATTGAAACTCTTGCATGAGGGACAATGGGGAGACAGTTACCCTGCCAGCTCTTGGGGGCTCTCCTGGAGCCTTGTATTGAGACCTTTTCTCCAGAAGGTGTGAATTGGCAGTTAAAAGGAAAGCTTTTCTCTTAGAAACTCCTGATCTTTGTGCAGGATGGTATTTGACCAAGTGCCTGGAAATCAGGATCTCAAGAGAGAGTGCCTCTAAGCCAGTCCCCAGGAAACGTTTCCAAGGGGGAAGTTATAGCTTTCATAGGTAGCTAAAGAACCAATATCTCCTAGCCCTGTTCAGTCAGAAGAACTTGATGGAAACTGTTGAAATTTGAATTCAAAGCCTCATTTGCTTCTCCTGCTGGAGTAAACCCATTCTAATAGCAAAATAACTGTCATTGCTACAGAAGGATCCCAGTTTTTAAATGTCTGCTTCCCCCAAAAGTTACTGAGTTTGAGGTGATTTAAGTCACTGTGTTGATCCTCTTAATTGAACAACTACCAAACCTGCATCTTTAGCATTGATGGAAATAATTATTTTATCTTCACATTCTCTACCCCACACTACAGTCAGGGCACGAAGTGCATCAGCGATCCTTTCCCAGGCTCAGCAGCATCTCCTCACTGGAGCTGGACTCCCAGGTCACATCATGAGAACAGAATGGCAGGAAGGAAGTCTGGTCCTGGCAGATTCCCCTGTGGAAAGGAATCAGGAAAGCACTAAACGTGGATGGATTTTGCCCTCAGCTCCTATAAAGTGGGTTTTCTCCTAAGGCTTTTTCGGAGGATATTGTCATCCTCTTGCGGTTTTGTCAACCAGGAGGTCAGAGTGGCCCAGTCTCCTCACCTGAGATCATGGCAAGAAAGGAGCTGCCACAAGCCCCTTTCCCTGCTAAATAATGCTTGGGCTGCTTCATGTGTTAGCCATTCCAGATCACTTAGAGCTAGGCAGCTGCTGCATGGGACTTTCGTTGGCTGTGGCCAGTTAGCTCTCAGCTGAGCTTCCTAGGGCCAGTGCAGCAGGGCCAGCAGTTGCTGTAGTACAAATTGAAATAAGAATAGATCATTGCTTTGAACACAAAAAAATGTAATGATGGTGCTAATTTTCTGGTATAAATAAGCACTGCCAAGGGTTGAGGGACTGGTGACTTGAGAAACCCAGGTTCCTGTTTGGGAGGAAGAAATTTTGTGTAGAATGGTTTCTTTGAGGCTCAATTAGAGAGGGAGAAGGCAGAGCCTCAGTGAAGCCTGCACCCGACCCTGGAGTGGGTCAGCATAATCCTAGGTGGAAGAGATGCTATATCCAGACGAGGGTGGCCATTGAGTTTCTCAGGGCTGGTGTCACCTTGTCACCTGGTGTAGCCTCCGTCCACACTGCCTAGAACCCGTTGGTAGAGCGCTCCAGCTGTGGGGTTCTCCTTCTGCCCCTCTCTACCTCTTCCACTCTCATGGGAGCACCTCAATTGCTTATGAAGATTAAGGGTAATATTTCTTAAGGAAGTGGAAAGAGTTTATTTTAATTAGAAATCCACAGCCTGAGAAATGTTTCCTACCAGCATAAGCAAAATCATGTTAAACTCTTACATGGTCCCTTCTCTAGAGCTGCTTTCCCATGACTTTCAAACCATCAGGCTATTGAGGGGCTTCAGGTCTAACACCCTGGAAGTCAAGCAAAGCTTTGTGGACAGGAGATAAGCCCAAGGAGTAGGAGCAGAGATGAATGGTTGTGGTGCTTTAGACTTCCAGGGTAGGGGCAGAGAACAGGCGGTCTCCAGGTCCAAGGTGGGTGCTGCCTGTGTGTGCGTGTAGAGGCGTGTGTTGGAGATGGGTGAGTGCAGCACACAGGAGCTCATGGAAGAGCAGCTTTCTAAGTCTTGGCAAAGAAACAAGCTGACAATAGAGATCTATATATTTTTAAGAAAGGGGCGGGGGGGGGTTGTCAGCTGAGGTCCATCACTGGTCTTTTGCCCCCTCCTCCCCCCATAGATTGTCAGCTGTAAGTGAAACTCTTAGTGAAAAAGAGGGGAGCCCTGTAGGAGTCCCCATAAACATGTACTGTAATTCTTTGTATATAGAAAAAAATTACTGTAAAGTAAAGTTTAACTTTACTCTTATGGCCCTTGCCCTGTGTGTTGTTTGTTGTCCGTGGGGAGATGTAGCTTAACAGGAGGGAGGATGGGTTTGGGGTGAGAGCAGAAACTAGCCCCTGAGATAGTTCCCAGGCTGGGGACATGGTGGAGGTGAGCCCCTCCTCTAAGCATCTCCAGGAGTGGTGTGGGTTTCCTCCTAGCAGCCACCAGCTGCCAGAATGTCTTTCACTTCTTTTGGGAGTAGCTGGTGTCAGTTTCAGCCCCTATACAGGAAGCTTCCATTACCCATGAAGGAAGGGTATTTTGAGGAATTGGTTTTAAAAAAGGAAGTGGAACCAAAGCATTTTCTGTGAGTCTGACCGTTCTGGCCACGTTTTTAGTTCTTCAGAGATAGGTGCTAGGTACTGCAGAAGACCTGGCCCAGGCCTAAGGCAGGAAAAGCAGAGGCAAAGCAGCCAGGCTTCCAGTACTGGAAAGGGGCTGCCATATGCTTTTTAGCTGAACAGGAGGTACCAGCCCTATCCACCCTAACACTTGATACTTCTAAGACCCAAAAATGTACTTTGGGGGGAGTCTTGGAGTCTGTCTTTCCTTCTGACCTAGTCCTAAACTTCATGCCCTTCAGCAGAAAGCCCTCTGGGGAATAGTGTGGGAAGACAAACATTCAGTCCTAGAGTTACTTTTTGCTCAGGATCTTCGCCACCCTGAACTGGGTAGTGGTCACCTGATTTTACAGATGGGAAACTCAGGCCAAGTTTAGGTCCCTTTTCTGTTGATAGCTGGATTGGATCCCAATCTGGATCTATAAGACCTTTCTGTCTTACAAAACTTAAAATTTTTCTTCCATTAAGCCACCTTGTAGTAGGTTGCTGGGAAACTTAGGATCTGAGCCACAGACATGACTCATGAACCTAGATGTGACAGAAATAGTGGTAGAACCAGCCAGTCTGAGTAGGAGTGCTTGACCCTTTGATCTCTGGACACCATTTAAGTGCCTGCCTTGCGTGAGCTTTGCATTGCCCCAGCCCCTCACCTATCTTTGTCCCCCCCTAAAGAACAGGAAAAGGCCTTTTTGTTTCTACATTATCTCAGATGCAACCCTGGAGTGAAGTTCCTTGGCTTCCAAAAGAATAAGAGCTGAGAGGAGCCTTAACATAGAAAGTGAGGCCAGCTGGTAGCCCCAGAAAGAACTAGGTGTCTTGGCACCTAATCCACACAGCAGGGAGAGGGGCTGAGTGTGATTCACAGTGCATTGATTTTATTTACAAATCAAAAGCCACTTAAATAATCTGCAGACACAAGTGCTGTCCAGGGCAGGAGCCTGGGGTCCAAATAAGCCTTTACCCTCCTCATGCCCATCAGTCAGCCCAATGCTGCCTCCGTTCCATGGGCCAGCACAGGCAGGTGCCACCTCTGCTGCCCTGGGGACCGGGGGTAGCTCAGACGTCCGGCCACTCAAGCCCAGACAGGAGCTAGGTCTAGCCCTTCTGGGGGGATTCCTTTAATTCCCCTAGGCCAGGTGAGTGGTGGTGACTCAGTGATGACAACAGCTGTAGAAGTAGGGGTTTGCCTTCTGGCCCAGGTCCACGCCCTTGTCCTCTGTCAAAGAGAGGTGGCAGCTCAGCACCATTCTGTTTGGGAATCAGGTAACTCGTGAAGGGGGCCAGATGCTGTGGGCCTAGAGGAAGTCTCCAGAGAGGCTGGGGAAGCACACACACCTGTCATCACCTGGAAGGCAGCCACACTGACGTAGTCCTCTGCCACTTTCTGGAAGAGCTCGTCTGGCAAGAAAAAGGGCAAGTCAGTGAGGGCTCAAAGCCAGTAACCCTGGAATCACCCAGTAACCCAGCCCTCTAGGCTCTTCTCTGCCTCCTCTGGCACCCCTGCCTGTTCTGCTGTGAGGCCCCGGACAGCACTCACCCACACTCTGGCCTGTCTTGCTGGATGTTTCAAAGAGCTGAGCTTTGATATCTGTAAAGAGAAGTGACTAAAACCTCCTACCTGAGAATCGGGGTGGATACAAAGGGGAAGGCTAGCAGTTCAGGGAAAAAATGGACCCCACACCTTCAGGGAGGCCAGAAGACCTTCCCAAGGGATCTTGCCATGGCAGCTAAGGTGGTCCCTATTTTCTCTGCTCCACCCAGGCAGCCACCTCCCTCCCCCACCCCCAGGGAACTGAGCAACAGCTACTGTCTGCATAGTCCTGGACGTCATGGAAGTCCACACGGCGGCGGCGCCTGTCCTCTTCCAGCAGGTCACTCTTGGTGCCACACAGGTAGATCTGACAGCCCTGGGGCAAAAGACAAGGTCAGGGTCACTCCCATGGACCACCAGCCCCTGGTCGCCTGGTGAGGTCTGGCACTTACCTCCTCTAGGTTGCGCAGTTCCTTCACCCAGAACTTTGCCCGCTCAAAACTGCTGCTGTCCGTCAGGTCTTGACACGGGACACGCAGAAAACACAACCATGGATCAGGGGCCGTTCTCTAAGGCCAGCCTGACACCCATCCCCTCTTCTTTGAGGAACGGGCCAGAACCCCCTCTTACCATAGCAGACGATGGCAGCCTTGGCGCCCCGATAGTAGATTCGGCTCATGGCCTCGTAGCGCTCAGAGCCTGCTGTATCCTGAAGGGCAGGGGGCGGCTCAGCCCTGAGTTACCGAGCTACTCCCCAAGATTGCAAACTAAATACCACGTCTTCCAGACCCCTATTTTTAAACTGGGGTCTAGAATAGAAAAATGGCCTCTAGGAGACCCCAAGTCGGCCAGTAATAGGCAGGAGAACCTAAGCCTCCTCATGAATGGGTTTTCTCAGGACTTTTTGCCCAGGGGACTTACCCAAATACCTAAAGTCACCGTCCGGTCTCCAACGGACATCACCTTGGCCACGAAGGCGGCCCCGATGGTCTGCAATCAGGGGGAAGTGATCAGGGCCGCGGGTACGGGCCAGCTCCCTCCCACCCGTACCGGGCCCCGCGCGGCGCACTCACATTCTGATAGGGCCCCACCAGGAAGCGGTCGTGCACGTATCGTTCCACCAGGCTCGTTTTGCCCACGTACTCCTTGCCCAGCATCACCACCTTGACGTCCACGCGCTGCCCGCTCATGCTCCCGGGGCCGCCTCACCCGCGTCAGGGTCCTGAGCGGGGGCGGGAGGCAAACCCGGATCTCCGCTTGGGCAGGCAGCGCCCAAGCTTCAGTCCCCGACCCCAAAGCGCCAACCTACGACCGGAGACGCCGCGTCGGCTGGAGCTCCGGCAGCGTCCGCGTCTGCCCCGCTCCTCGGCCCCAGGCGCTGCTCCTCCTTCGAATAGCTCAGGACTCAGGGCGGCCTGGGACCGCGCGCGGCAGCACCCTCAGCGGCGCCGCATGCCGCCGCCCAGTTCGCTCGCAGGCCTCAGGCGTCGCTCCGGCACGGACTCCCCACGGAACCTAGGGGCCCCTTCAACCTGGGTCCAACCCGCAGCGCCGCGACTCCCGCGGGTGGGGGGGGGGTGGTAAAGGGCGAGGGGCGGGGCCGCGGGGTCACGTGCGCGGGCGCCGGAAGTGGTGGGTACGGCGCCCCTGCGCCGGAAGTTGCGCGCGCGGCCCGACAACTCCTCATGGCGGCGGCGGCTCCTTGGGTGCGGCGCGGTGGTGAGTGAGCTGCGAGTCTGGCGGGCGTGCGGCGAGCCCCGGTCCGGCCTCCGTGTGCCCCCACGAGCATCGCACCCCTGATGCTGCGCGGGTGTTGAGTCCGCCCCTGCCGGGACGATGGTGAAGTATTTCCTGGGCCAGAGCGTGCTCCGGAGTTCCTGGGACCAAGTGTTCGCTGCCTTCTGGCAGCGGTACCCGAATCCCTATAGGTATGTGGTCCTGGAAAGAGCAATCCTCCCCCCTCGCTGTTTGGAGATCGAAGTGTGGGGCCGGGAGAGACTCGACATCGAGTCCGAGGTAGGGCATCGTCGGAACCGTTGTGGCCTTCTTTAGGGTAAGAAGACCCTATCCGAAAAGCGGCCAGGCCAGGCCTGCAAGGTAGTGGAAGGAGGCTGGGCCTGGGCGGTGGTTTACTTGAGGCTCTAGTCCAAGGTTCTCTCATTTCGGGGTGGTGAGACAGGAAGAGGCGGCGGCACAGCAGTTGGGAGGGATCTTGGGGTTGGAAGTCCCGGCGCTGGCCTACTCCTCTGCCTGTGGTGTTCTCCACTGGTGTAATAAATCATGAGGTCCAGCCCCCGCTGGAATCCGGTCAGCAAGAGGCCGGGAGTTGGAGTCTGCCCTCGGATAGTCGCAAGGGACTCTAGTTGAGGTGTGAGCCACACTACTTACCGGTGCAAGTTTAGGGAAGGCATCGGCATTCTGGGCCGGGAGGCTCCATAGGGGAACCCCAACAGGCAGTCTTTCAGCGGCATGCCCCCGAGGGTCACCTTCATTCTGATACTTGCAGCAAACATGTCTTGACGGAAGACATAGTGCACCGGGAGGTGACCCCTGACCAGAAACTCCTGTCCCGGCGTCTCCTGACCAAGACCAACAGGATGCCCCGCTGGGCCGAGCGACTGTTTCCTGCCAATGTTGCTCACTCGGTGTACATCCTGGAGGATTCTATTGTGGACCCGCAAAACCAGACCATGACCACCTTCACTTGGAACATCAACCACGCCCGGCTGATGGTGAGACTACTCTCCCCTTGGTCCCCCAAAAGTAGCTCCAGGTACATGTGGCTAGGAAGCCATGAAGGAACTTCTGTTGTCTGAGGCAGATTTGGGTTACTGGGGAGTGCTAGATCTAGAGTGTAAACTCAGATGATTTTTTTCAGCCAGTTAGTCTTTTAACTGATTCATACTGTGGGGGAGGGGTACTTGTTTTACAGATTTGTCCCAAGCTCTAAATACAGAGCACCCTCACTGTGCCTGCCACCCATAGAGTGTGGGCCCAAAGAAGTGATGCTGAGGGAAGGAGGCAGTGATTTTTCAAACAGGAGTCTATCAAGCCATAAGCAGTTTCTTTGTGCCTCAGAGGGGAGAGGATCTGGGCCCCTTGCCCCATGATGATTAAAGGAGTTCCACTTTATCTGTCTTACATAATGGGTTTTTGCCTGAGATTTTGGGGGGAGAGGTTCATATACCTTTTGATTTCTTGCCTATAAGAGAGCTGTAAAACCCTTGGTTAAAGGAACATCCTACAGTATCTTCTCACGTGTGAATACTCTAAAAGTTTTCAGGGAGCTGTCATTCTTTTTCTCAGCTAACTTCTTCACAGTGGCTCTGGGAGCTAGGTATTACTCTCTATTGTGCAAAGAGGGAAGTGAGGTTCCGAGAGAGGAAGTGCCCTGCAAGGTCACAGAGTGAGCAGGCACCTTGATGTTCTGCCCCAGAGTTTTCCGAAGGCTTCACAGCTGACTACCCTAAGGGCATAATCTGTTTTTATAAATTACGAAGATAGTGATCCAGCTGTGAGACATGTCTTTTAAGTGTTGCTCTTGGAAGTACTGGTTCACTCGTCAGATAATGAGAGCTGTGACACTGGCCAGATTTCCATTTTCATTTCGCCTGCCAGGGAGCTTAGGCACTGCAGTAGGTGGAAGGCAGGCTAAAAGCACTGCACAGAAAACTTCCAAACAAAGTCCAGGGCCAGGTTGGAGCTGGCATACACTCTACTGATCTCAAGTCTATATGCCTTAGTTGAAAGGGTCGGAGGAGAGGTTTGAGAGAGCTGAATGGCCTTTTTTATGTTCTTGCTCTCTTCCTGAAATGAAGGTTGGGAATACAGTAAGGGAAGGAAGTGGATTTTTCACTTGATTGCCCTACCCTGTGAAAAAGAGGCAGGGGATCCAATTTATGTGGAAATGGATAAAGTGAAAGACTCCCACACGATTGTGGTTGGCCTGACTCCCTGCACAGGTGGTGGAGGAACGATGTGTTTACTGTGTGAACTCTGATAACAGCGGCTGGACCGAAATCCGCCGGGAAGCCTGGGTCTCCTCTAGCTTATTTGGTGTCTCCAGAGCTGTCCAGGTGAGCAGCATTGTGGGGGTGCTGGGGCTTTGGGACCCTAGGTATCTGGTATGGAGGCTGGGCTAGGGGTCAGTAGGAAGCTCAGAATCTTTCCCCCTTTTCTTCTTTTGCCAGGAATTTGGTCTTGCCCGGTTCAAAAGCAACGTGACCAAGACTATGAAGGGCTTTGAGTACATCTTGGCCAAGCTTCAAGGTGAGGGGCTCTGGGCACAAAAAGAGGCTGGGGTCCAGGCCTAGTGGCCCTGCCAGGTGTGGAGTCCACAGCTGTCACCACCCCACTCTAAGCCTGGGACCCCTCATCTGTACCCTGGGGCAAATGCCACCCTTTGGACGGGGCCTGGCCCAAAGAGGGGGAGTGTCGGGGAGGAGGGGTGTTGAGGTGGGTCATCTTGGTGTCTTCTGAAGCCAGCCCCTGCCATTTGCTGCAGGGGAGTCCCCTTCCAAAACCCTCGTTGAGACAGCCAAGGAAGCCAAGGAGAAGGCCAAGGAGACGGCACTGGCAGCTACAGAGAAGGCCAAGGACCTGGCCAGCAAGGCGGCCAGCAAGCAGCAGCAACAGCGGCAGCACTTCGTGTAGCCAGCCCAGGCCCCGGGGCGGTGGGACACCTGACCGCCTGGCTCTAGTCCCTCTGCCCTTCCTCCTCGTACTTTACTAGTAAAACTCAACTTCCAGCCCTTTCTACTCTGTGGGGGGGGGGGGGGGGGGGGGGGGGGGGGTGGTGGGGGCTGGGTGTCCCTTTTGGCGCGGAGCCATGGACAGGCCCAGGGAGGGGCGGTGGCTCGCTCAGGGGCACAGCGTGCAGGGGGAGGAAGCCTAGACTGTAAGCTCCGCGAGGGCAGGGGCCTTTGTTGCATTCTCTGATGTGTCTCAGGTACCTGGAACAGCATCTGGCACATAACAGGCACTCAATAAATAGTTCTTAGAGTCAGAAAGCTTTAGTTAGAATCTTGACTGCATGCTTTCCTGGCTTTGGGCCTCAAGCAAGTCTCGTACTCAGCCTCGGTGCCACCTGTGAAGCGGGGCCAGACAGCCCCCAGCTGTGAGGCGTAGAGGGACACTGCCTGGTACGGTGAACGATCCGTGTCGGTCACGGCTATGATCTCATTTCCTCTTTTCCAGTTTGTCCGTGCCTGAGAGTTCCCCATTTTCATCAGGCAAGACCACGGACAGGAAGTTAGCAAAGAGGCTTAAATTTAATGCGAATACTGTCCAGTATCTGGGGGCCTTCTCTAGGAAGGAACGTGAGGGCCCAAGAGGCTTCCTGCCCCCTGTGGGGACAGCAAAGCCAAGTGCTACAAGAAAGGCCTGGAAGGGTGGCCCGGGCGCAAGCTGCCTGCCCTGCAGGCCGCGGGGGAAGCACGGGCAAGCCCTCCCCTAGGAGGGCCGGCCGGCACCCAGCGGCGGGGTGAGGGGGGGACGGGGGGTCGGGGGAGGCCCGCACCTGTTCCCACGGAAGGGTCCTTTCAGTCCGTTGCAGGCAGCCCCTGAGGCTTGCGGCAGGCTCCGACCTCCGAGCCGAGGGCGGCGGGCGGGCGGGTGGCCGGCGCCATGCAGGTCACAGCCAGCTGCTGCAGCCGTGGGAGTAGCTGTGCTCCCGGCCCGCGCCGAAGCCCCACGGCAGCTCGGCCTCGGCCCCGGACGCCAGGCTCTCCACGTCCACGTCTGCCTCCTCTGCACAGGGAGGCCGCTGGTCAGGGGCCGCAGCCCGCTCAGCCCACGCGACCCGTTGGCTTTCGGGGCACTCACCTCGGTCCGAGTCCGAGCGCTCGGAGGAGAGGCCCGAAGAGTCCAGGCTGTGTGCCCGCGGCCCCGCCGGCCCCCGGAGCCGCTCCAGCTGCCGCCGCAGGCTCTGCCGCTTGCTGCGCAGCTTCTCCTTCAGCCGCCGCGCCTGTCGCTCCTGCGCCTCCAGCTTCTGCGGGTCCCAAGGGGGCGAGGGCCCGGGCTCAGCACAGCACTGCCAGCGACGGCCCGGGCATTGGTCACTGCCTGCTGCAGTCCGCATCTGGGCCCCAGGGGCTTGCTCCCACATCCTTGGGGAAGCCAGCCTCCCTGCCCTCCGGCTCACGTAAATGCCCAGGGAGCACGCTGTGTTGGGCTGGGGATGGCGCCACAATCTCAAAAGGCCGTCAGGGCCTAGTCAAGGGACGTGGGTCTGTCTGCCGCAAGCAGCAGGGACGGGGGAGGCCTGTGGCATGGCGGTGAGCACGCACTACGGCTCAAGGGGGCGGCCACATGCAGACGGGCCTGGTGCTGCCACGTGGCCCAACTTCTTTAAGAAAAGCTGGAAGTCAGACTTTTTAATGTCAAATGTCCTTTTATGTGCTGCCAGCTAATTTTAAATTTTTAGAAAACTACACACCAAACAAAGCCTACCAGTTTGTAACTCCTGGTCAAGACCCTCCCAGGAACCCTGGAGCTTTTAGCATTAATCCCCCTCCAGCTCTGCCAGCCTGCGGTCCAGGGACTGGAGGGCCAAGGGTTCTCCCACCAGAGCCCTCGCAGGCAGAAGCCTGCATTCAGTCAACAAGAAAGGGAGAACTGAGCAAGGGGACATTTGTACTGGGTGTAGAAGGATGAGTAAGAGCTGCCTACACAAAGATGGGGCAAGCAGCAGCATCCAAGCAGAGGGAAACTGGGAAGATCATGGAGAATTCAGCTTTTCTGGTAGGGCATGGGCATGAGAAGATAGACCAAAATCAGACCAGTGGCAAGGCCTGGGCTGAGAAGGGCCTACAGTTTTACAGGAAGGAAGGAACTGAGACTGTCTTGTCAGGAGCCATGGAAGGTTTCCAGCAGGAAACAGACCTGGACAGATCTATGTGCCCCAAATTATATTCCAGGGCAAGTTGGACGAGAGCTCACAGGAGGCCAGGGAGTCCAGGAGAGGGGTGGTGATAGGCTTAGGAAGGAGCAATCCCCAGGTCCTGCCCATGGGCCAGCCAGCACCCAAGGGGCACACATCATCCCTCCAAGAACCAGGCCAGGCAAGCTCCATGTGAGAAACGGGCCTGCTACCAGGCCAGGGTGTTCTTCAGCACGATGAGGGGTTGCAGGCACCATGGGGCAGAGCTCACAGTCCCTGCACTGTGATTTATTTGCTGCATAGCACATGGACTGTCTACCACAACGCCCGGTGCCTAGAAGAGGTGCTCAATAAACACTTGTCAAAGGAAACAGCAAGTCAGGGGACTTGGGCCTGGGTTATGACTCTCTCATTAGCTGTGCTGCTCAGTCCTTGGCCTGGCTGTGCCCCCATTTCTTCCTCTGCAAAAAGGGCCAGGAGGGCAGGAAAAGGCCTCTATTGTTTCTGAGGCCACTTCTAGGGCTGCTGCCCCCCTCCCCCCAATCTGAGTCAGCTACCTCACTCCTGTCCACCAGGAGGCACTGAGCTTAGCCCAGGTAGCAGAAGGGTGCTGGGAGGAGGGGTGACTGGCTTCCTTCTCCTGGCCTCTGGAACTGCCTCCCCAAATGGCATCAGAATAGATAGCTCAGAACAGGAGGCCTTGGGGGGATGGGAGAGTGGAAACCTCTGCAGTCCTAGGGACCCCAACACATGACACATCAGAATGTTTTCAACAGCCATGCCCTTCTGTACAGAGGGGGAAACCAAGTCCAGAAAGGCTGACTTGCCAGTTAGGACTGAATTGATAATAGCTATAATAACCATGAATGTTTACTGGGCAAACTCACTCAAGCCTCAGAACAGTCCTCTTGAGTTGTCTTCTGCTTTTCTTCCTACTTAGCACAAATGGAAGCTAAAAGCATAGAGAACTCCTGGGCGGTGACCTCGGGCCTCTCCCCGCAGTTCCACTCAGCCCCTCTACTATACCTCTCACAGGTTTGGGCAGGCTGGCCGCAGGGCGCAGTGGTAGCTCCTTACCTGGATGTGCATCCTGGCCCAGCGCAGAAGGCTCAATGTGGTGTAGCGGGCGCAGTCAGCCCCCAGGGGCATCTGCTGTTTTAGCTGCTCTAGGCACCGCTTCAGCTGGGCCCTCCTGCGGGGGAAGGAGTCTGGAGGGCAGTGCCAGCCCAGCCTTGCTGGCCGGAGGGACGGCAAGGGAGGGAAGGCCAGAGGGAGATGGTTCCTGGGGCCCAGTGCTGTCAGGGCAAAGCTGGGACTCACCTGCGTTTCTCCAGCTCGTTGTGCACAGACCTGCCAATGCCAGGGAGGATGAGGGGGCGTCAGCTACTACCCACACCCTCAGTCCCAGGGGCTTAAAATCCACTATAGATGTGGGCCCCAAACTAGCCTAATGCGGGAACCTTGTGCCAGCCTTGAGCACTGGAGTCCGCAGGAAGAGGCAGAGAAACTGGGCCAAATGCTGAGAGGCCTGCCCAGGTGGTTGTGGGGTCCAAACGAGGCCCCCTACCAGCAGTCAGGAAGGGCTTCCTGGACAGAGGTCACAGTTGAGCTGGGCCAGAAACATGCTACCCAAAGTGGGGTAGTGGAGGGGGAGGCATTAAAAGTGGAGGGATTAGCATGTGCAAAGGGTTGAGAAAAAGAGAAAAGTCTGTGAGGGAAATCGAGTCGAGACGCGGACTGCAGGAGTGTGAATGGAAGGAGGACCCTAAAGTCTCGTTTATAGTTTCTGACACATCAGGGGTGCTCAAGAAACAGTCCCTGAATGAACAGAGGGGAGTGAGGAGATGGCAGGAGAGGTCTGAATTGCCTCCAGAGTAGGGGATCTGGCCCAGAAGATACAAGCAACAAGGAGGAAGTGGGCAAAGGTGAGGCCCCATGAGGGATGGCACCCATCCCGCCCCCACCATCCTCAGCCCTCCTCACCGCCCACTGTCCAGCGCGCCAGAAGCTTGGGGGGATCGCTTCCTCCTCCTGTAGACTGGGCCTGGACTGCGGTGCGGGCACAGGGACGCGTAGCCATGCTCGGCTTCTGCCAGAGAGAGCCCCAGCCCACTTCAGGCTGGGGCTGGTCCCAGCAGGCGCCCCTGGCAAGGCACAGTCAGGGAAGGGCTTTTGGCGCCAGGGCCATTTCCCCAACCCCTCCCAGTCCGACAGCCCAGGGATCCCTCCCCCGCACACACAAGTTGAGGGCGGGGTGCCCCGGGGCTACTGCCTAAAGCCATGCATGCATCCTTCTTGTTGGGAGCCAAGTCCAGCCTAGGCCTGTGTCAGCGAGGTTGCCGTCTGGAGTCTGGCCAAGAGTTCTTCCTCACCTCTCTCACGGCGCTCTAGGAACTCCGCCGCCTGCAGCAGGACCTGGATATTGCTGGCCACGGGTTCCATGTCGGCGACAGCTGGCAGCCAGCGGGCCTAGGGTGCTGGCCCGAAGAGCGGCTGCACCACTTTTGTTACAATGTAACTGACACGGTGCAACAAACACAGGGGCCCGGCCCCGCCCCTGGGACACCCCGCCCCCGGGACGGCCCAGCCCTTGGCCCCGCCCCCTCGAAAAGGGGCCAGGGAACAGCAGACCACCTCCACGAGCCTGCCCCCACTCAGACTCCCGGAGCTGCTACGGGCGCCGATTCCAGGCCCAGCCTTTGAGTGAATTCCCGGGCTGAAGGGGGCCACGTCTCGCCCATTTCACTCAACGACCCCGGGCCGACTGCTTAGTATATCAGGGCCCCAGTTTCCAGCCCCAAGCTGATAGCGAAGGCTCTGCACCTAAAATGGTACTCTGGGGGCCCTGGGTGTCCGGGAGGCCCCAGCTCGGTCGCTGCACGTGGGCGCCGCAGAGGCGGGGCCGGCGGGCACCCTCGCCTATTCGCCCGCTGCCTCCTGCGGCTCGCTGCCGTCACCTTCGGGGCGGGGCCGGGGAGCTTCTGAAGCACTATTGGCGGTGTGCAGCCCCGCCCTCTCCCTCCGCTGGTCAACATGTTCAGGCGGGAAAAGGAGCAGGTTTCAAATTTGAAAACCCGGGCAATAGGGGCGGGGCGGGGCGGCGTTGGGCGGGGAACAGAGCTGCAGTGCGCAGGCGCCGGGGGAGGGGGCGCAGATCCAGCTCCTATGCTTGAGGGTCCGTGCTCTCGCTCTCCTGCCATCTGCACCCCTACGCCCCCGCTGGGCCGCAGCTTCCTGTTGTGGCGAAGGGGAATAGTCTCCTGGCTCCTCCTCCTCCTCGTCTGCAGGGAAGCTACTGTTGCTACGAAACTGTCAGTAGGGTACCGATTTCCCAAGCCAAGCCATACTCCGGAAGCAGGCGAACTAGCTTGCTAGTTCTGGAGGCCACGGAGCTGGGTTCCTCTCCTGTGCCCGCTTCTTCTCAACTGTGTGACTCGGGAAGTGACCTCCCTCCTCTATGTTCAGGAAGCCCTGTGACGACAGCACTGTCGCAGGATCAGAGCCCTTGCCCACCTGTGCCCAGTACGTTGCAGCTCCTGACTTCTGAGGCCAGTGCAACCAGAGGCAGGTTTCTTCCTCCCACAGAACCCCTGGCTGCCTGAGTCCAGGAGCACTTCTTTAACATGACTTTTTAGCCTCCCAAAGGAGTATATGCAGTGCCTTCTAAGGGCAGCACCAGTAGATATAGCCACACCTGCGGGAACAGTGAGTCTAAGGGTGGAGACAGGAAGATGAAAGCAGCTGTTACAGGGTGGAGCATTACAGCCAGGCTGGGGCTGAGTGTGAAGTGGCTAAGAGGGACTAGATTCTGTATGAAGAAACAGTCCTGGGAAACACATGATATATGGCAGTCAGAGAAACCCAAAGGTCTTTTTCCCCTGAGGACTAAGAGTCACTCCCAGAGGAACCACTGACATGCTCCACCAACTGCTGCCTGGAACTGTCCACCCATTCACCCATCCATTCGCTCACAAGGTATTAGCAGAGTAGGTCCTGGACCACAGGCTCTGTGCCTAGGACTGAAAAATACAAAATGGGAACAACCAGATAGGGTTCCTGCCTTCGCAGAGCTCACCGGGGGGGGGGGGGGGGGGGGGGGGGGGGGAAAAAAAGGCCGACGAGTGACAAAATAATCGCACAACAGTCACAGTTTTGCCAGGTCCTCATAGGAAAAGACACAACATGAAGGCAAGTCCTAAGGAGCATCTGTCCGAATCAGGGAGGTGTGGGAAGGTTTTGCTGGGGAAGTGGATGGACAGGTATCTCTGTATAGGAGGTCTGTAGGAGAACTGCAGACTGAACAACAGGCGCCAAGGCCTGAGGCTGAAAAGAATGGAGGCGGACCAAAAGGAGGCCAACGTGGCTGGCAACACAGAGAGCAAAAAGCACAGTGCAGGCTGATGCTAGAGAGGCGGACGAGGCCCACAACAGGCTGATTGGTCCTCCAAACCTCCACCCACAATCAGTTACGTTTGAAGAAAGGACGGCACAAAGCTTGTGAATGAATTCCCAAGTGTATTTCACCAAAGTCAGCACCCACACAGTGCAGGCGCAAACCTACTCTTCAGACACCTGCGACCCAGGGCGCCCGGCAGAGAGGGATTCTGAAGGAGGAGAGCTCCCAGCAGCAGAAGGGAGCAAGGTACACTTGAAGAGCTACAGACGATCTGACTGGAAGTTGTGGAAGTGAGAGTGCAGCTGTAAGAGCACCAGAGGGGCCACACCGAGAAGTGGACTTCATCGTGGGAGCTGCTGCGGGCAGGCCTGGGGCTGGGACTAGCATGGAGAAGGGTCACCTGGGCCTCAAGGCCTTCTGTGGAATGGTCAGGGCCACCAGCCAGTGGGACAGGAAGCACCACCTCCCAGGAAGCAGGCAGGTGGGGAGGATGGACAAAGATGTGTCTTTTTCCTCTATCTACTTGTAAGTTTTCTCTTTATCTTTGGTTTTCAGCTGTTGCCTTGCTTTGTGTTTGCCTTGTTTAGAATGTTGTGAGTTTCTGTAAAGTTTTTCAGTCTTTATTTCTTCAAATATTTTTCCTGCCCTATTTTCTTCCTCTTCTTACTCTGATCCCAATTTCAAGTATCCTTCCCAGTCTGAGAATACATCAATGGTAGGCGATGTTGTTCATGTTTTCAGGTGGTGGTTTTTTGTTTTTTAATCTCTCTGCTTCAGTGTGGGTAAGTTCTATTTACTTGTCTTCAAGTTCGCTTATTCTTTCTTCTGTGAAGTCCAACTTGGTGTTTAGCCCATCCATTGTGGTTTTTATTTTAGCCACTGTGTTTTTCAGATCTAGAATTTCCATTTGGTCTTTTTAAAAAAGTTTTCTATCCATATCCCAGACTATCTCATGGCCTCATGTATTAATTTCCTAGGTTCATAACAAAGTACTATAAAATGAATGGCTTAAAAAAACAGAAACGTAGTCCACAACAATGCTGGAGGCCAGAAGTCCAAACTCGAGGCTGAGCAGGGTTAGTCCATCCAGCGGTTTTGTGGGACAGTCCATTCCAGGCCTCTCTCCTCTTGCTGGTGGCTGCCAGTAACCCTTGCCAGTCCTCAGCTTGTACATGTATCACTTCAATCTCTGCCTCTGGCTTCACAAGGCGTTCTCCCCTGTGTCTCTCTGGGTCCAAATTTCCCTTTCTTATAAGGATACCAGTCAATGGATTAGGGCCCAATATTGGGACCTCATGTTAACTTACCTAATTACATCCGTGAAAGACTATTTCCAAATTAGGTCACATTCAGAAGTTCTGGATAAATACTCTTCAACTCATTATACCCTTCTCTCTCCCAGTTATTATTCTTTTCCCATTAATTATTTTATATATTTATAATAGTTTATGTCCTTATCTGCTAATTCCAGTAACTTGGGTTTTTTTGGGGTTTTTTTGGTGGAACGTCTATTGTTTTAAAAATATTTATTTATTGGGGTGCCTGGGTGGCTCAGTTGGTTAAGCGTCTGCCTTTGGCTCAGGTCATAATCCCAGGGTCCTGGGATCAAGCCCCGCATCGGACTCCCTCCTCGGCAGGAAGCCTGCTTTTCCCCCTCCCACTCCCCCTGCTTGTGTTCCCTCTCTTGCTGTGTCTCTCTCTGTCAAATAAATAAAAATCTTTAAAGAGATTTATTTGACAGACAGCATGTGCACATGAGCAGGGGGAAGGGCAGAGGGAGAGAATCGCAAGCAGACTCCCTGCTGAGTGTGGAGCCTGGCACGGGGCTCCGTTCTACAACCCATGAGATCATGACCTGAGCTGAAACCAAGAGCTGGATGCTTAAGTGAGCCCCCCGGGTGCCCTTAGGACTTCTACTGACTGTGTTTTCTCTTGATTGTAAGACATGAAAGAAAGAAAACGTGCTTTATAATTTTTTATTCTAGAACATAAAAGGGAGTAAAAAGTGTGTGTGTGCATGTGTGTGTATTTGTTTCATTTATTTTCCTGAGAGACTAAGCAAGTCCTTACCTATCTGGCAGCTAGAACAAAGGGCTTATGATTTGGATTCCTCTTGAGTACAGTTTCGTGAGGAATTCAGCCAAATGTACAGTAAGAGTGAACACAGTCACTTCTTAAACCAACTGCAAGTTCAGGGGATTCCTAAAACAATGGCTGGGGATGATTTGCTAGGACTCACAGAACCCACTCAAAGCTAAAATACATACTGCATACACTGTATTATACAGCTTCTTACAGGGAAGGGATACAGATTAAGACTGGCCAAGGAAAGCAGCTCATGAGTCTGGAGGACTAGGAGATGTGGACTGCCACTATTCTCTCTCCCCGTGCATTTAGGACATGTTACTTTCCCGGTATCGATGTGTGGCAATTACACAGAGCACCAAGTACTAGGGAGGCCATTCCAAGACTCAGTACTCAGTTTTCAGAGCTTCGTTACATGGGCACGATTGAGTGCCCATGTGGTTGATCTTAAGTCTCCACTGGACTGAGTCATGTGACCTAAAGCCCACCTTAAATCACACTGTCATTCACTGGCTAACCCAAGGCCTCTGGGCAAACAAAGATCATCTTCCAAGAGCTGAGGGTAGAAGACAGAGGCCTCTTTTGTGAAGGTAAATGCCACCACTACCTTTGGTCAAGACTCTTACCACAAAATAATCATATTCCCTAACATTTGGAGGGGCTAGGGTGGAAGTAGGGATAGATTTAAAGAAACAACTAATGTAAAGCCTATAAAGTGAGTACATACACTTTCTTATTTTTGTCCTAATTATTTATTTCCCCCTTTGTACTTTATGATAAGCTGGTGCAGAGCCATTCAGCTTAGAAATTAGCTGACACTGATACTGGTTTACCAGTAGTTGGTTAAGTTGGTTGGTTAAGCATCCGACTCTTGATTTCATCTCAGATCATAATCTCAGGGTCGTGGGATCAAGCCCCACGTCAGACTCCATGTTCAGCGGGGAGTCTGCTAGAGATTGTCTCTCTGCCTCTCCCTCTGCCTGGCTCCCCGTCTCGCCTCACACACTCTATCTCAAATTAGTTAATTAATTTAAAAAAGAAATTAGCTGACAGTGAGGTGAGGTAAATCCAGTGCTTTCTCAGGATAGTCATTTTCCATCTGTGTTACTTCCTGAGGAGGCTTAAAAAATATATATTTTATTTATTTATGGGAGAGAGAGAAACAGAGCAAGCCGGGGAAGGAGCAGAGGGAGAGGGACAAGCAGACTCCCCACCTAGTGTGGAGCCTGACGCAGGGCTTGATCTCAGGACCCTGAGGTCATGACCTGAGCCGAAACCAAGAGTCCAATGCTTAACCAACTGCGCCATCCAGGTGCTCCCTGAGGGGGCTCTGATTCAACCCCCCAGTACATTTGACTATGAATACCAGTA